TGTTTTTTACTAAATGTGGGATAATAAAAGAACTGTAATTTTAAAAACCATAATTTCCGGTAAACCGTTACCATAGGAACAGAAAAAATATCAAATAAACTGTGTAAATACAGCATACTTTGGTTTTATTAACCAGAATTATGTTTTTTTTTTGCTTTTTTTTTTTTTTTNTTTTTTTTTTTTTTTTTTTTTTTTTTTTTTTTTTTTTTACCTGAAATGTCATTACCGTACAGCGCGGTAATAGAACTAGAATTTTTTTCAACTAGTATTTTAACACACACGCATATTTTAAAATATCGTATTTAATATTTAACGTAAGAATAACTATTTTTCGTACAAACCTTAATATTTAACGTAAGAATAACTATTTACTACAACTGGCTGTTATTTCACAATACTCGCTCACAAATTTAACTTAACTGCTAATGAACTTTTTATCCTGTCTTATTTGATCATCAGTTTCCTTATTTTTTTTGGATTCATAACAAATTTCTAACCCACTCTCATAACAAGTTTCATTCAAACATTATCCTTGAAAAAAAAGTATAATTACTTTATGTTATGTCTTATGTACTTATGTTAAATTTTAATCACGCTATTAATAAAATTGGAAATATAGCAATTTTGGTTTAGTTTTATAAGAAGGACCTTTAAACTACTGACTTTTTCATGCAGAACTGCAACGATTTGTTCTACAATGATTTTAACAAAGTTATTATTAAAGCGTAAAATTTAAGAAAATAATATAGGATTTTAATTTAACGCGATACTTTAAAAATGTAACGGAATGTTAGAATTTTCTTTCTAAAATTATGATAAAAAAACCATATGACCGTCCAACTAACCGTAAGGTTTACGGTAAAGAGCATTTTTTACCTTTACGGAATAAAGACCGCTTACAATTAGTATGGTTATAAAATCATGAATATAAAATTATACGGTTTTTTAACCATTTACAACTAGCTTGGTTTCAAAACCTTAAAATAAAAAATTTAATTGGAGTTATGCTTTTCGTTAGGTTATGGGAATTGAACTAGCTAGGTTTCAAAACCTTAAAATAAAAAATTTAATTGGAGTTAAGCTTTTTGTTAGGTAATAGGAATTGAACTAGCTATGTTTCAAAACCTTAAAATAAAAAATTTAATGGGAGTTAAGCTTTTCGTTAGGTAATGGGACCTAGCTAGATGGGTCCCATTACCTAACGATGACCTAGGATTGGCGTTTTTAAGTTTTAAGTAAAGTTTTAAGCATAAACATAATGGGACCTAGAATTGAACTAGCTATGTTTCAAAACCTTACAATAAAAAATTTAATTGGAGTTATGCTTTTCGTTAGGTAATGGGAATTGAACTAGCTAGGTTTCAAAACCTTAAAATAAAAAATTTAATGGAAGTTAAGCTTTTCGTTAGGCAATGGGAATTGAACTAGCTAGGTTTCAAAACCTTAAAATAAAAAATTTAATTGGAGTTAAGCTTTTCGTTAGGTAATGGGAATTGAAAAGGACTGGACAATGGAAACTCTTCATGCATTGAAGGGAATGAAAGAAGTATTATAGTCTCAACTCTGGGACTCAAACCCCAGTTCTGTCGTTCATAAGACTGCCAGATTAGCCCTCTCAGCTATAATATCAACACAGTTAAGGAACTAAGTGGCTTCATTAGGTGGGCTTATTTGGTACGATGAAATTCTGGCTGTTTAACCGTAATACGGGAAAGCAGTTCTTATTTCACTTTCTTATTTCAACTTCAATAAATGGAAGTGTGTAATAAATGTGTATGATTTTTCGTAAATACTTGTTTATTATTTAAATGTTGTTATAAGTATTTGTTAAAATTTTAGTTCGATATTAAATAGAAATTAAATTCATTGTTTAATATCATTTTCAACCTTTTTTTGAATTAAAATTCGAAAATTATTTAACAAATAATGGGAATTTGATATTGTTATCTATAAATTCTATATTGTTTATGAAACAAAGGTTTATTTGTGAGAGTGTAACCGCTGTAAAACAATGCAAAATTAGTGACCGTTCACTGAAGTATTTTGTAAATGTAAGAAATCACATATTTCAAATTAAATTGAAAGGGATAAATGACAAAGATATAGTAAATGTTTTAAAATCGTAGTTTGTTAAAAATAAATTTATTTCAAAAGGTTGTTTATTGTTTAATGAGGAGCTCTTATATTTTATTAAAACATGGTTCATCTTAATAAAGTGTTTTTGCTTTTTTAAGATATTCAGATATTCCTGTTTCCTTTCGTAAGTTTTTTTTTTTGTTTATTAAAGATTATGTTTCAGCTTAGCCTCTAATAAAGTTTTTCTGCTTAATCGAGATAAGGTTTCAACATATCAACCCAATAAAGTTTTCTGGCTTATTCCAGATACTGTTTCAGCAGAGACCTTCAATAAAATCTTCCTGCTTATTCGAGACAATGTTTCAACATAGCAGTCTAACAAAGTTGTCCTGCTTAATCGAAATAAGGTTTCAACATAGCAACCCAATAAAGTTTTCCTGCTTATTCCAGATACTGTCTCAGCAGAGACCTTCAATAAAATCTTCCTGCTTATTCGAGACAATGTCTCAGCATAGCAGTTTAACAAAGTTGTCCTGCTTATTTGAGATTATTTTTTTCCCAATGGCAGGCATTGAATTTGAATCTTTGCCTATACTATGCCAGAATTGTTGCTCATTTCGCGTTACCCAGTGGGCACCTGTGAACCAAAGTCACGGAGGCGAGCAACATTGCCCACGCCACACTGCCACAAACCCGTTTTATAGGGTGGGCCACATTCACACATCATACACACACACAACAGAGGACAGCACAAAGAGAGAGAGAGAGAAACATCCATGCCCAGAGCGGGATTCGAACCCGCAGCCTATGGCTTCGCAAAAAGCAGTCAGGCACGCTAACCGCTCGGCCACCTGGCCGGCTTATTTGAGATTATAATTCATCCTAGCGTCTAATAAAGTTTTCCTTTTCATTCGAGATGGTGATTCAACCTAGTACCAGCCAAATCAACCGAGCATCGTAAGATGGTGTCCGTGTTTATTCTAAAGTATGATTCAATCTAGCACTGTACTCTATTCAGCCTAGCTTTAAAATATTTTTTCCGACTGAATCAAAATTAACTTTACCTTTAGATAGGATAGCAAATATTTTGCCTGATATTATAGCTCTAAATGAACCAAACAGTGAATAACAATTTTTTTCTCCTATTTACATTTCTATCATTTATAAATGATTGAATTTTGATATTATCTTACATTATAATTATGGCACAGGTTTTTAATAAAACTGCATAATTTCATTTCAGTTCTTAGTGATGATGTTTTCTTTAAGATCTTTAAGAAAACATCATAATTTTATCAAATTTACAATAAAACTTTGTTAACAAGAAATAGGAGAAAGTGTCAAATTTAAGCTGCTCCCAAGGTCAGTATCTTGTGAGTTAATACTTTTTTTCAATAACTTTAAATCTATGCCTTCAACAGCAACCTAAAATTTCACAAACCCTAAACAAAGGCTGGGACAGCCTGGTGAGTAGGGCGTTAGACTCGCGTTCGAGAGTTCAAATCCAGCCGGCCAAAGAATCCCGGGGCATTGAATGGTAACTGGTGCGTGTTAAAGCAGACATGGTTACAGAGTCCTCCAAGTTCCCATAACATATCAATACTTCTGGGGATACTGATCCAGGAGTTCCCTTGTCTACTAGATTGGGTTCAAAATTACAAGGCTACGGAACTGAACATTGGTAGTCGTAAACTCAAAATTGGGTCGCCTGTTCAATGACGGTTATAATAATTATAATTATAATAATATAATACCCTAAACAAAATGGAACTTTTCAGATCTAAAACTTTTTCTCGCTACGATTTTACTTAAGCATGAATTTAAAACGCTCTATCTCTCTTTTTAAATAGATTCACTCTATGCATAATTTTTTTTCCCTGCATATATAGTAATGCTTATTGCATTCCAATTCTACAAGCATTATTCCATACATCGAATCAAGGGTTTTGCAGAGTTAAATTTATGTTCCATTATTAAATCAAATGGCACATGTAATTTTAAATTGTTCATTAAATTCGTAACTTATTATGCTATATACTACGATGCATGTCTAGATAATGAAATTAGATGTGAGAATATGTTGAATAACAAGAAATTAAAAATATTTCGAATTCGAATATAACAAATTGATGATTCTGCATCTTCTTCAAATGGTAACTTAAAACAAATAGCTTAGAAACAGTCGCAATATTTGGTATCAAATCAGAGCAATATTTGGTATCAAATTAGTATTAAATGTCACTGCCCGGTATGCCCTACATCAATGTTAATTTCAGTGCCACTGTCCGGTATACAATTGTCCACATTAATGTTTTTTTAGATCAAGTGCCACTGCCCAGTATGCATTTAATCGGTACTTCGAACACGGATTTTTCTCCTAATCTATCCTAAGCAGATATTAAAATATTTAATAAATATAATAATATCGACGAATAAATTAATATCAAATCGGATGTAACAAATATTTTGGATATTCACCAAAGCAACTATGTGATTGTTGACATTCACTAGTGAAAGTCGACATTCTCTTGATTTTGATCATTCACGGTAACATATATATGTCATATCTTGCCACATCACTTTATTTTTTTTTAATGGGAAAGAAGAAAAAAATCATATTGCTTGAATTGCTACAGCTAAATATGGTGGCACAGCTTGAAAATATTCAGAAAAAGTACCCTTGACTTCTGTTTAAAGTATTGTAATTCTTAGAGTATGTACAGAAAATGTTTGACTAATAAGAAAGAATGATAATTACTCTTTGAAAATTCATGGAGAATATAATATTCTTTTAAAGTATCTTTACATAAAAATTAAATCTCTAATAACTTAAGTATCTTCTGAAGTCATCTTGGATAACAATGAAACTTTTCATTAATGAAATTTTATTTTAATATAAATCATTACTCTAATACAGCCATATTTTGCATCTCATTTATTGGTTTCATATTTAATAAAAACATTTTAAATACAAGGATTGTTCAAATATTTTGTTATAGAATATAAATAAGAATATAGAATATAGATTTAATATAAATTATTCCTCTAATACCGCCATATTTCGCATCTCATTTATTGGTTTCATATTTAATAAAAACATGTTTAAATACAGGGATTGTTCAAATATTTTGTTATAGAATATAACAAATTGATGATTCTGCCTCTTCTTGAACTGAAAAAAAAACATATTCATTACAAAATATGAAATGAATCTGTCTTATAAATTTATTATTGTTTAGATTAACTCAAATAATAAGAGACTCGTAAATAATATGTGAAAACTTTTGTCTACTTCAAAATATTTATGAATGATGACATTCTCTATGATAGTGCAAATATTTGCTAGACAATGGAAATCAGTGTTAGCTGAAAAAAGTTTTTTTAATAAATAGAGTTCTTATATCTAAGCATAGTTCTGACAGCAATTGTCGTAGAGTAGAAACTTGTCGAAAGGAAACAACATTTTTCTCGTAAAACTAACAGGAAAGGCATCAATAAGGTACTCACATAAAAGGAAGAGAGTTTTTTCTTTAAAATACATTTTAACTAATTAAAATATTTATTGTATACGTTATATATTGAATGTAGTATATATTTTGTTAAATAACCGTATATTTTGAGAGAACTTTTACAAACTACTTGACACTTTTATAAAATTATTTTTTTCCTTTTAGTTCAAAAATACGATAAATGTCAATTTTGTTTTGCTGCTAAAAAGCTATTTGTAGAAAATATCTTCAAATGAACAAATATAAAGTTATGCTTTTATATTTAAATAATTGAGTCAATTAATTAATGCGGTGGAAAAAATAAAACGCAACTTTATTAGGATTAACAATTTTGAGGTCTTTTTTAAAAAAATGTTCAAACATTTCTCCTCCAATTTCCCATTTTTTGCTAAATTTATAGAGTTTGCTGACTTTTTACAATATCAACTAAATTCTGAAATTTGATTTGTTTTAGCACCCATTCATTTTATTTTAGAAGAGGAATACAGCAAAAAAATTTCCATCTTACTTCCAAATTTTTTTTACAAAAAAGAAATAGATTTTGTCTATAATTTTAGAAATGTTTACGTAAATCAATTCTGAAAAATGGAATTTTATGGCAATCAAGGCTAATATTGTAGCGTTTATTTCTTAAAATCAGTCTGCGTAGCGAATCTTATGTTCATAAAGTTAAACTTAATTTCCTATTCTTAACTGGCTAGATTTACTTAACGTACGTTACTTTTTTTAATTAGACCTCCAATCAAAATAAAACATAATATCTAAGATTATAATGCTAATATTTGATATATTGTTGGATATAATTATTTTATTTCAGGTATAAACTAAATTAAAAACTACTTAAGAGAAATATGAAGTGTAATAATGTTTTAAAAATATATAAGAATTATAATAAAGAAATTATAATAATATTGAAACTATCCATAAATGATGTGGTAATTCTTTTCGATATTTTCAATCACTCCTTATCTCACCTCATCCTTGTCACAGATTACATAAATATATACTTGTTGTTCAGTTACAAAGCACTAAATCATACATCACATTTCGATTTTAAACTTTGTCTTTTAATGACATTTGTGACAATGAAGATGATTTTTGTCTGCTGGGTTTATATTATGTGCTTGGTTAAATCAATAAGTAAGATACAATACTTTTAAAATGTTAATGTAAAAGAATAAATGAAAACAGAAGAACTTTCCATTTTGATTTCTTTCGCATTAAATTTTATCGTTATTTTATGAACACAAAATGTTTTAAGCTGACTTAAATTTAAAGATAAATGCTACTATATAAGTATTTAGGAAATTACCTTCTTATTTCATTGTCTGATTGATTTATGTAAACATTTATGAAAATACAGTAAAACCTCGATAAAATGAATACGGCAAATTTAGAGAAACCCGATATTGTGACTAATTTCTGAATGACTGTCGACATTCGAATATTAAAGGGACAAAAAATGCGTGTTAATAACGAGTTAAAATTGCTAGCCTTCTGCTATTAGAAAAGTTTTTAGGTTTTATCTTTTTGAAAAGTAAATTTTCTGCAGTTTAAGTGAGTAATATTATACAAAAAAAGAGATTTAAATGGAATAATTAAATGGAACATATATCACTCCCCCTTTTTTTATGATAACATACTATTAAAATCCACTGTTGATGTTAAAGGGCATTTCATTTAGCTTTATTCTTGAAAAACTTGCAGTGATTCAGAAACGCGTTGTTCATGTTGTAGAACTGTTGTTGTTGTTGTTCTGCTTTTTATAAAGCAGCGTAATTTAGTCTTCAATCAGTAAACAAAAGCAGTCTACTCCAGATAAGTATTTTAAGTCCAAATAAAAGTGGTAAATATGTCGACATAAATTTTTTAGAAATGTATATATATATATATATGGTTTAGTGAGTGGTATAATGGCACACGAAAAAGTTCCTGATGAGTTTGGTAAGTGTACCTTTTATCTAAAGGATTCAACCCGGTTGACTGTTTAAAAAAATTTCGGGAATTAATTCGAATAATCTTATAAATATAGCTCCTAAAAAATTGCATTTTGTCATTCAAAAAATATTGTTCTTCAAACAATGAAAACTAACTATATTAGGCATAAGTCTCCGTAGTAAAACAATTTAATTTTCAATTTCAATCTTAAAAATGTTTATATAGTCAGTAACAATTTTTTAAACATGATTTTTAATACCATTTTAACTGCTAGAGAATGACAGATGGCACACGTTTTTATACTAAGAACCATAATTCTAAAATGAAATAAACATAACTTTTTACAAACATAAAATGGATATTTTGTTTCTAACTATTTTCTTTAATCGATTATCCATTCAATTTAGATAATTTAAATGTTTTTCCCTCATTTTTTATGATAACCTATTTATAGCTTAAGGAAAAACGTTTTTAAAATGATTTAGCTAAGAGAAGGCTTAAGCTTCTATAACCTCTCTAATATTTCCCGTATTGTTTGCTTATACGTACCCGTCTAATTACCTGTAGGCACTTTTTGAAGTAATTCTTCCACTGTTTCAGCTGATGTAGTTGAATAGATATCTTTCACTAAACTCACTGGTAACTTCTTCTTTTTATGAGTTTCGGCTATATCTATCATACGTCGAATATTTTCCTGTAATTCAGTTTTAATTACAAACTCATGTATAAAATTCAATTTATACTCCAATACTTGAAAAAAGAATTTACAAAAACTGTTCTTTTTGTTTTGATATTGGAGAATATTAGCTTGCGTATAACTGAATTTCGAGTATTTCCGAATCTATTTACGAGACCGCTGAAAAATCATGACCAACCAATATGGTGCATGAAACATTTAATACCCAATATAAAAAAAGTTCCTCAAAATCCATTGTTATATCCATCTTAATGTGCAGTTTTAATAACTAATATTTGTTTGTAATATATTCAGAAATATTTCCTGAATTAGTTATTAAATATTATTCCTGAATCAGTTTAATTTAGTTCGAAGCACAGAAGGTCCAATGCATATGTAGAGCTCATATCAGAACGTAAAATTTACATTTTTTTAAAAAAAAAGGATTAATTCAAAACTAGTTTCATAGTAAAGTATAGGTGTCATATTCTTCAGAAATATTTAAAGACCATATTTAAATAGTTTTAATCAGTCCTAAGCACGCTAAGTCCATTGTACAATGCGCAAAATAAAAAACTGAATACCCTGAATAACTTTGATCTAATGATTGGTTCTTCACGGGGGGGGGGATCTCAGATATGCTAATTAATTCCTTTTAAAGAAGCCGCATTTTGGAAATTCGATTTTTCAGGAACTATTTGAGCGATTTTGTTCAAATTTTGTGTTTTGCCATGTAAAACTATAACCTTAAAATGGAGGTGGAAAATTTTATACCTTGCAATTCAAAATTATTTTCGAACATTATTAAATAAAAAATAAGACATATTTGCTAAATTGTATTTTGCATGGAATTATCTGTGGATAAACGAATTTTATATTTGCATGAAAAAAATTTTTAAATTCGCTAACGAAGTTTCCGGGATATAGTGAAGTACGCAAAAAAGAAAATTAACGTTAAGGGGTTTAAAATTTGGACTGCTCTCCTGACCAAACTATGAGAACCATATTCCTAGCGACTACCTTTATTTTGTGGGTCTGAAATCCAAATTCGTTGAAGAAAGGGTATCTTTATTCAGAGAAATTAAGCTTTTGTGTCCGATTTCGCGACTTAAAATATCGTCTGCATTAATTGATTAAAATATTTGAGGTAATCTCCTCAAACCTTTAATTTTGAGTCCCAGAACGTGAAAATCCTATCATTAGATCAAAAGTAATTTTTTTTATTTTGCTCACTGTATATGTAGGGCTAACAAAAGAAAGGACTCTTAACGAATATTTTAAAATTGTTTGAAATTAGGGATTCATTTAAAATTACTTTCATGTCAAACGTCATATTTTTCGAAAATACCTAAAAATATGCCTGAAAATTTCGAAAAAATATTTTTAAATAGTTTTATTTAGTACTAAACTACTGAAGTCCATTGAATATCGTAATGTATGAAAATCACATTATTATTACTAAAATATAAGTATCATTTTATTAAGTTTCCCTATTAATTGAGAATCTAATCAATTACAGTAATGCTCAACTGTAGGTAAAAAATGTAAATGGTGAAAATATTTTTCTATGCTTTGTTTATTGTTGAAAGTAAATTTTTGTTTCGAAAATGTTTAAATTTATTGAACCATGCAAAAACAATTTGGGTATGAGAAAATGTATCACGAGTGAATAGATTATTAAGTCGTTTATTCATTTTTATTAAGTCTTTTATTCAAAAATTTTTACGATTCTAGAAATCTTTTACTACTTTCTACGGAAAAAGCATTTCCTTAAATAAAAAAATTACAGCTTAGTGACAAATCCCATAGGGAGAAAAAATTTTTATAATTTATTTATTTTTTCATAACAAATTTAATAGTCTTTTAAAAAGTTCGGACGTAAAATTTAAAAATTTATTATGGATGTAATCATTTAAATTGAATCAGTTCTTAATAATTATATATAATTTAAATAAGGTTTATTTTCTTTTAACTTACCAATCGCTGCATTTGCCTGTGTTGCTGCTTTTTCATTAATAAAAGCTCGACTATTATACTTTGTTTATTGGGATCGACAACCTGAAACAGTGAAACAAATGTGAACGAAAATAACAAATTTAAACAAAAATAAAAACATTTACTAAATCACTTATCAGTATTTTAAACTTTATAAAATTCTACTTTCAAATATATTCATCTGGAATTATTTTCATCTTAATATAGATATTCATGAATACGAGTATCTAAGAATTTTAATTTTTAAAGAAACGAAAGTCTACTTTAAAGTACATCCATCATATTACTGCATTAATTCATATACGCTTCTAACAGAACAGATTACAGTAAAATATTTAAAAAAATAAATTCACTTTATGTGATGCATTTAAGCAGTGATGAATACCTAGCAGCAGATTTTATTTTAATGCCCTTATTAAAGATTTCCGGCTTAAAATAGGATTTTTTTGTTCAGGTTAGAAAAAAAGGCGGTTTTTATTCTGTTTGAAACACTGTTATTGCTATTTTTCACAATAAACTAACTTTTTTATTGGTTAACTACCTTCTAATAGGTGTCCAAAGTTATACAAACAGTATCTATATCTATAATGTCTATAAACAATGTTCAAGAATACGAAGTTAAGTATCTATAACCGTAAACTCAGAATTCGGCCGGCTGTTGAACGCCAACACTGTATATTAGTAAGCAAATTTATGCAACATGTTGCCAATAGTTCTGTATTGCCTGTTCAAATTACATTTAGAAGTGACGGATAAAAATTTATGTATTTTAGGGAAATAATATTTTAATAATTAAAAGGATTTCTCAAGAAATCCTAAATATAAAATTAAAAAAAATATCCTACTCTTCCATTCATTCGAAATCCTTTCATTAATGTATTGGCGTTGTTAAGAAGATCAGCTTGAAACATTTCTTTCGTGTTTTTTCCTTGAGCTCTTGTAATAGCTGATTTTCTTGTGGTTTGTTTACCCCACACTTGCACCATTATGTAGCCTTCTTTTAAGTATTCCACAAGCTACAAATAACAATACATTCAAAATAACAATTCCTATTTATTCTTATTTGTAAAACATTTATACCTTAAAATAGTATAAAGGTACATTAACGCTCGCTTCAAATTTCCAACGAAAGGATACTTTTCTAGTTAAAAATAGCCTTTTCGAAGACTTTTTTTGGAAGAAAGCCTTCTTAAGTTTCATATTTTATTTTTCATACCCTCAAACAGCTATTTATGCATTTGTTTATTACATTATACTTTCTTAAGACAAAGAAATCTTAAGATGTCTTGCTATAAATTAATCTAGATTATAATTGACAAAAAAATGCCAATTTTTTTACTATACATAGATTTTAAAACCAATATGATTTTAATCTATAAACTTCTAAAATATTCCTTTACAATTTATTTATTTATTTATTTTTAAGAAAAAAGCGACATATTAGCATTGCAATATTCTTTCTTCTAAAAATGTAGTCATCAATTTTTAAATGTATACTATACGTGTATAAAGATGAAAAATTGTGAAAAAAGTTTGACTGCAACATTAACATAACTAATTATTTTACATTTATGAATATTGTAAAATCGTCGGAAATCATTAATTAAAATAATTCATAGTTGCTTAAAATAATCATAAATTAAAAGAATTTATTTGTTAACACGCTTCAAATCTATACTTAAAAATATAAAAATGTTAAAAATTATGTTGTTTTCTTTTTCAGGTCTCACAAAAACTTAGCAAATCTACAATGGAAAAAATATTGATTATCGGCTTTGGAAAAATATTACAAAGCGTACAAATTCATACATAGAGGATGAAAATAATTTATAAGCTGTTAAAAAACTATCTACAGAATAAATTTTTGAAAATAAAAAATTCAGCTTACTGATTGTGTGACTCGTTTAAATGAAAATATTCTTTTGTGATTAAAATCTGGGTTAGAAGTATCTGATTGAACTTCAGTCATATTATCTTCAGTTTCCAAATACACTTTATATCTACATACAATATCCTTAAAAAGAAAAAAATTAGTAGAAACTTAAAAAAATAAACATTTTATTCTAAAAATAAATGTTTAGATCATGGGTTCCCAATTGTTTCGGCTGTGGAACTTTAAATGATCACCCTACTTTTGAAGATACCTCGAGACTTAAAGGAATAAATTTCATTAGCAATTGTAATCAAATTAATTGACGACAGACTATTAATTACTTTAAAAATCCGCAATCATCTAAATTTTATTAATAATTTTGAAAATATATAATGAATAAAAGAATTTTTCTTCATCATATCGTACTTTATCAATAGTAGTCTTAAATTTGAGTTTTATGTCTGACAGTTGAATTCAGAGAGCTGGAGCAGCTTATATAGACAAGTCTAGTTCTTAATCTGAATTTAGTGTATGTGTTGCTGTGAAACACCGAAATCAAGCGAATGTCGACTTTCACTGGTGAATTTCAGCAATCACATTGTTACTTTGGTGAATGCCCGAAATATTTGTTATATCCAATTTTATATTAATTTTTTTCTTTGATATTATTATATTTATTCGATATTTTAATATCTGCTGAGGATAAATTAGAAGAAACATCAGTGTTCGGAGTGCCGGTTAAATGCATGCTGGGCAGTGGCATACCGGGCAAATGCATACCAGGCAGTGGCACTTATCTAGACCTAGTATATATTTTGGACATTTACCAAAGCGACTACGTGATTGTCAACATTCACCGGTGAAAGTCAACAACCACTCATTTCGGTAATTAACAGCAACATATGCATAAACTGAAAAATAAAGGAGTTGAAATGAGAATGGTCTTCGCAAAAACATGCTTCTTAACTTTTGAATATGGTTACTTTTATTCGATGTGAAATACTTATGGAATTTTTCACCAAGGCATGTACTTTTTCATAATTTAATCATTATATTGTTATAAGAAAAAGCATTGTTTAAAAATTTATCTCTTCACATACATTTCAATTAAATAATTTCATATAAACGACAGAAATATTAAATAAATTATGGATAACTAATTGGGTATAAATTTAATTCCAGGTTTCAAGAATCATAACTGGTTGAAAATAAATTCCTAATTCTCGAAACCCTAAGGTTCCATGGAACATTATTTAATATATTGTTTTAAATAATACATACAAATGAATTAACTTGTTTTTGTACTCGTTTTAAAAATATAGTTAAGAACAACTCTGAATCTATTCAATATTTAATAAGAAAGACATAGCGAAATTCTTCTTTATGTTTATATTACATATTTTGAAAATTGTATCTCTAATTTTAAAGCATTTTTTTTAAAAATTATGGCAATTAGAATGAAGTTTTGTAAATAAGAATAAAACTAAAAAGATGGAAGAATGAAAAGTATTACATTAAATCTTGATGGAAGACCTCGACATCCCAATAATTTCACCATAAAATGAAGATCTTTTCCAATCAACTCATTAGGATTGTCTACAAACATATCATCATATTCAGTATATTCCTTGCCTTCAGCAGTACATGGAACTACTTCTATCTAAAGAGTTTAAGAAAATAAACTATTAATGCACATAAAAGGTGCAACCTGACTAACTTTTGATCAAATGATGGAACGTTCTAAGATGCAATTTTAATACTTTGTTGATCGGCAATTTTTTACAGATACTATGTCATGTCATCGGCTATTATTTTGTAATTGAATATGGAAGTAACGTAAAACATTCTGAATATTTATTTCATTCCCAAGTATTTTTCACAGATGACAAGTTAACTCATCATCGATCAACAACGCTGGACATGAAAAGATGAGATCACGTGATCTTAGTTGTTATCAGGAGGTAGATTTTATTCGGGTAGTTGCTAATTAGGGGAAGCAAAAGTTTTAGTTACGAAATAAGCATAAAAACGTGCTGACGAAACTCTTGGGTACCTACCATCTTGTCACAACAAGGATGCCTCAAGGTCAATGGGGACAACCCCACCTCCCATTTTCGCAAATGACAAAAGTACTTATAACAATTTTACTTAAACAGCAAATTTTTAGCTGTATCTGATCTATCTCAAGTAGATTTACAGTTAAAAATATTTTGCAAAACATTATTTTCAGAAGACGAAATTAGCAAGATTCACAAAAAAAAGGGTTTTATTAAGAGGATGTCATATCGCAGAAGAAAATTTTACTCGCAAATTCTCCTTCATTATTAATCTAAAATTTAAAGTGTCTAAAATTTAAAGACAAATCTAGAGTTAGCCATGAAGTTACAAATACTGAAAAGGAAATTTAAAAATATACAAATGAAAATAAATTATGAGATGATGCGCAACGGAGAAGTTCTCTTCTAACAATATGTTTGCATTTTAAGTACTGTTTGCATATTTTGAAGTATTTTTTTCACGAACTGATACTTCATGACAAACTCTAGGTTTGCCTGAACTTACTTTTTCATTCTTTTGAAATTTTAAATTAGTAATGAAGGAGAAAGAGAATTTGCAACGAAAATTTTCTTCCGCGGTATGGCGTCTTAAGATCGCAACAGACTCACTAAGTTGTGATTTGTTGTTCGGTTAAGTAAATTTGACTTCTAACTTGACTCCGGTTGTGAATCCCAAATTCAATGTAATTAAATGCATATCAAATGCAAATAAATATTTTTAAAAATTTTATCAACTCGGATTAATTTGATTTGAAGTGTGATGGAGGAGATTTTATATTTTTTTAATTCTACATCTATGATATCATATTATTATGTTAGCAATTAGTAGTATTCTCTTGGGATGCTAATCTTAAAAAGTTTTTTAAAAAAATTACAAATATAATGAGATACTTCATTATAACATGCAATTAGTGTAATTCTTAAAAAAAATCATATTTTAAATGATTTTTTTTAAACTAATTATATCACAATATGAGAAATGTAACTATTGGTATTAAACAATTTTTAAGACTTACAGAAGACTATGCATTAAAAGTATTAAAAAGTATGAAATGCGAAAAGTTTCTTTCAGTAAACTTCAAACTAATCCATGTTTATTAATTAATTTAAAAATAATATTTGATTAATTCGGCAAGATTTAATTAATCAATATAAAATTTAATAAATTCATACTATTTAATTACATGTGGCTTTATTATATCCAACGCTTTTTTGGATATAATAAAGCCACAATAATAAAACCGCAAAAAAAGTTTTAAAAATTTCTACANGATCTGCCCCCCCCCCAAAAAAAAAGAAATTAAACTAATGTATTAATACAATCAATCCATTTATCATAAATGTGTTTTCGTAAGACGATGTTCATTAAGATGGTTCAAAAGTTTTGATATTTTAATGTTTTAAATTATTTCGATCATTTTTAAATTCGACAATAAATAGAAAATTATATTGTAAAATTATGCTGTAAAAAATTCAAAAAGTTAAATAAAATATTTTATAAATAATTTATGCTGTAATTTTATAAAATTATAATGTAACACTTTTACCCAAATAATTGCACAATAATTGGAAAAAATAGTTAAAAAAGTGCAAAAAAAAAATCTTTTTTTGCATAAATAACTCATAAAAACCGAATCTGTCCATGGAACATATCATTTTTATTCAAAGAATGCATGAATCTTTTCAGAGAATATATGAGTCTTTGTGTCTGATTCCGTAACTTGAAACATCATCTGTACCAAATAAATTGACTAACTCTCGAACGATTGTGTTCTAGTGCGTTCAGTATATCAAATTTAGTAGATCAAAAGTTATTCAGGGTGTGTAACATAATTTTTCATATTTTATTTTAATAATGACAAAGAAAGAATTAATTTTTCCAAAAAAAAAATTAGAAAATTTTTAATGAGAAATTTAAGTGAATAAAGAATATATTTAGGTAAATAAAAACAAAAACTTACATTTAGAATACCAACTTCTGCTCCTTTGTAATCTACAATCTCTAATTGTTCCTTAAGTTCAACCTGCATAAACACAATTTCATTTTTATATTTTCACATGTTTATGGATATCAGTACTAAATGTAAGATAAACATACATCATTTCAATATATTTTGTATTAAATGGGAATTAATTTAGATATTATTAACGTTTTAAAACTTTTGACTGTAAAAATGAAATTTTTTAATTAGTTTTAAAACCTATTGTTGAAAATTTACTTTCAAGTGACTCAAAGACAAAGGAAATTAATTATTTCCAATTGTAAATTTAGACATACTAATCATTATTCTGACTGATGTATTAATGATGCGAATATATTTGCAGGAAAGAAACTGGCGTCAAAAATAGAATGCAGTGGAGCAGAATTTAGAAGAAGACATTGACTCACTCTGGGCTTTCCATACATGATGATGATTATATTTGCAATAAAAATGGAAAAAGTTTCTAAACCGCAATCATTATAGCTCTTAACTTTGAAATCATAAGATAGTTTTTGATTGGTAAAACGACTGCTTTTTCAACCATAATTTCACAGTTAATAAAATCTGTTAACAAAAGGGGTTTAGGGACACGCATGTTTTACATAAGAGGTGTAAAGAAATAAAATTATTTGTATTTTCTACAATTACCATATAAGCAAGTGGCTGAAGAAACACCTGACAATTTCCAATTCTTACTTCTGTATCTAAATCTTCTATGAATGGATCTCGGTCCTAAAAAAAAATTTTAGAAAATATGTCATTGTATTTTTACTAAAATGCTTTAATATCGCAAAATACAATTATTTTATCTCTAATTATTTAAAAAAAAGGAAAGAATCATTTTTGTGAAAAACTTACTTCCTCAACATCCCATTCATCCCCAGCTTCATAATTTTGATACATTTCTTTCATAACATACATTCTATTCAGAAATTTCTCTTTAGGCCATTCAAATTCTACACCTGTTTCTAAATTTCGCATTTTAACATACACCTAAATAAAAACAAAACAGAAACACATATTTCATAAATTATAATAAATTTATTCAATAAAGGTAGTCAAAATAATTAGAAAGGCTTTTAAACGTAATTTACATTTGTACCTGTGTAAAATTAATGTAAGAACCCATAAAATATTTTATTATTGATTTAAAATATCGGTGCTGGTTAAATAATAGACTAAGGCGAACTCTCAAAATAGCTATAAGAATGAAATTACTTTTCCAGTTAATCTTTCCCACACTTGATTAATGGATTATATATTTCATCTTGAGTGAAAATATAGGTTAAATTAACTAACGAAGTAAACATGACTTTTTTCGACCAATTTTATATAAATAAAACTGAAAATGTATAGAATGTCCCATACGTCTTCCTACGGTATTTATGACGCAAAGAACGCGTGAAACAAATATTCCAGTGTTTAATACATGTATAACATAGAATTTTCTGTAATATAGAAACTAATACAAATGGATGAAATTCTTTTTAACTAACAAAAAAACATGGAATATAGCTTGCCGTAAAAAAGAAAAGAGAAAAGGGGTCAGAGTTCACTCGTGGCACGTTGTTCGTCTTTACTAATAAGAAGTTTTTTGCTTTAAAATTATCCCTCAAAATGTTCGATTGTAAGCTGTATCGATTTAAGACATACCGATTGATTGACATCGATGAGAGACATATCGATGAAATTGTTGAAGAGATTTCAAAATGCTTTTTCAATAGTAATTTGAGGAGCTTTCTCAAAGAGGGTGAAAAAACTTTTTTCTTTGATTGTATAAAAATTTGTGCTGAAATCTATAAAAATAGATTATTTTTTTTGCTTAATCTCAAAACTGTGGACAAAAACTTGCTATCAACAAAATCGCTTGCATGCTGTTAATATAGTCCAACATTAGTGCAGAGAAAATCTGATTAACTAAAAGATGAAGGCCCCCGTGTTCTCTGAGTCTATTGGATTATTTTGCATGTGGATAAATATTATGGAATTTATAAATGTACACGTTTGTATCAATTTCGGTGTATTATAGAGGGAAGAAATTTCTATATATTCATCTCGAATCGTTTGTTCTAGCTTTTAGAAGAAACTAAAGCTATAAAATCATACCAACCCACTTTCTATTTCGATTCTATACATATTAGCGATTTTATTTAAAAATAAAATTAAAAAACTATAATTCTATTGCTGTCGTTTTTTTTCAAATTTTTTTTCGAAATTGAATGATAATTTATTGAACATATTATATAGTACGTGTTATTTACTGAAGTTTTTAGAAGCGCTCTTTACGTAAATCCTATTTATGTCTTAAAGCAAATTTTATGAGATTAGCTTTTAACGCTGATGATGTAGATCTAGAAAAAGAGGCAATTTATGCAAAATAAAGTAATTGTTTGCAGAACGCATTACAAAGATTCTATGCAGAAGAATCACTCTTACAACTATAATTTAGTTAACTTGGTTTTAAATTGGCTCTCCTTAAATCTGAGAGATGAAAAAAAAAGTTTTAAAGAATACAAATTTTGTCCCAAGTGTACAAATTGGTATTAAAATCTTTAAAAATTCTACTGGAAGAAACAGAGAGAAAATTAAGCTGTAGTAAGCTTTCCCTCACAGAACTGTACAGAAGACTCTATAATTCGGCAACTTAGGAATCACTTGTTAGGTGAAAAATGCGTAGACTCCAAGTGCAGACAGAAATATATAATTTACATTCGGTGAGATGATGGTACAGAAAGAGCACAGAAAGAGCCGTTGTAGCTCAGTTGATAGAGCGTTTGCCTTCCAATGAGGTGAACCGGGTTCGAATCCCATCAATGGCTGGTCGATACGAATTCCGCATCCGGCTCACTCCCCAATAACTCGCTGATTGTGCTCTGGATTGCGTTCAAAATTACAAGGCTACAGAGTTGAACATTAGTTATCGTAAATTCAAAAATTGAGTCGACTGTTCAATGACTGTTATAAAATCAGCACAAAATAAGGTCGGAACAGAGACTGAATACAATATCAATTTTAGTTGGAAACTTAAAAAAAAAAGAGAAAAAAAGAAATTGTTATCAGGTTCAATGCAAGAAACGAAGCTAATGCAAACAAATATTAAAACAATCCCTTATTTTTTTAAACATATACTCATTTAATTATCATATTAACTTAATTAAAGCAATTTAAACAGTTTAGTTCGAACTGATATCTTAATTAGAACTCGCTTCTAAACGTATACTTCTCCTATGCTAACAATTATTTCAGTCCAAGAGCTTCCCCTTTATCGAGGCTCTACAATAATTTCAGAGTATTTGGTCTCTTTGAAGGATGCTGTTTACTTTTTATATATATTATAAAATAAATTGTCAAAGTTACAGCACTTTTGCGTGATCGAACTACTGAAAAAGCTTTTTAAAAACTATTCAATGATAAAAAGCATTTAACTTTTTTAAATTTTAAGAAGAAATTACATTAACTGCAACTTACTTCTGTTCGTCCGGACATTTTTCCAAGCCACTGGGGAGAAAGGAGTACTATTTCAAATTTAACTTTTTTGTCTAATTCTTCACTAATTGCATTTGCTTCTTCGACTCCAGGTAGAACTTCTACAAGGTCTTTATTTAGCAAAGCCGTATCTATTAAAGTACATAAGACTATTGAAATACAGGATGCGTTTTTCAAAAAGACGCTTATTAAATGTGTAAAATGGCCAATTTTTGTTTTACGAAAGAAGAAAAAAACAGGAAACGTTTTATGTCGTTGTATCATAAAAAATTGAGAAAAAATGTTCTTAAGTCTACTTTAAAATTGAAATTCTTTGAGCTGAAAATACTATCCTTCAAATTTGTTCAAATAGTCAGTTCTTAATTATTTCAAATAAAAAAATATCCGAACTTATTTATTATATTTTATATATATATGTAAAATATTTAGTATATTTATTATTAGTATATTATATAATATATTTATTATTAAATAATATATTATATATACAATATATATAATATATTATTTAGTATATTTTTCAGTATTTTTTTCTGTTTTGAAATAAATTTTTAAAATAATAGTTCTTGAATTTTTTGAAAAACTCCTTACTGCAACTCTTATGAATTATTAGTTTTATCTTTACCTCAGATTTTTCAGTTTACTATATTATAGTAAGCAAAACCTTTTAAATTCAACTTTTTGTTCACTTAAGGAATAGCATAATTTAGTTTCTAATGATTGGCTAATTCTTAATCTAGACTCGGCAGAGGGGGTAATGGAAGTCAAAGCTCCACACAGCATGGTGGCATCAATGCGATTATAACTAAGAGCCCTCACATTCTAGGTAAGCTAGAGGTCTTCAAACTCAAGGGTTTTTTTTTTCGTTCAAAGAAAATTTATTTTAATTCTTAATGATTGACTAAACCTACATAACTGTGTTCTATCCAAAATACCAAATGTGTAAAAGGACATTCTAGGTGTTTCATTACACCAGGAACAATCCTTGGTTTTTCTATCAATAGATGCAATAGATGCTATCAACGTCTTATTTTTAAAGTTGAATGCTAAACTAGGAAGAAGAAAAAAAAGCTAAGCATCCCAAGCACACAAACTTCTTCTCACTTTTTAAAGTTAATTTTTCTGATATAAAATTAAGCTCAAACTTAAACAAAAAACATGATTGTTTATTTATTTAAAATAGTTCGATAATTCATAATTGGTAAATTTATTTTTACACATAATTAGGGGTCTTTTTTTGACGCTAAGTTTTATTCTTCGATCCAATTCAACAGCCAACACAAGTGGCACTTTAGCACCAGGAAAATGACACTGAGTAAAATTAAAATCGCTGGAGAAAAATCATATACCTTCGATTACATTTTAAAATGGAGGTAACTAAATTATGGAGTAACTTCATATGAACGTAACCCCTAAGAACGACCACCGTCCATTAACGACCATATTGCTATGGAACAGAGAATAGTCGCTCCCGAGAGGTTTTACTATATTTTTTACAGTACAGATGATCTCCGAGGAAAGGAAAGAGGATCAATCGGTTCTGCCACATCTGCACTTTGCGCAATGTAACAATTTACTCTGTTATTTAAATCTAATATTTTAATTTTCTTAAGCCTTTATTTCCTTTTTTTATATATATAACAGTTTAAACTTATTTTATATAGAAATTTCTAAGCAATTTTCTTAATTTAGGGTTTTGTTATCTCAATTTAACCATACAATTTTCTCTTAAAATATCTTGTCTGGCGAAATTTCACTTTTCGCTTCGTAATGAATATTAACATTCTGTTCGCCCTTCCTCGCTGGTCAACGCGGTCATTGCCTTTCCTGTGGGGAGAGATACCCTTTTCTTCCTTTCTTTTTCTTCATTTTTTTAAAGGGAGCTTACTTAACCAATCTCTTTCATCTGATTTTCAAACTCTCCCCTCTTAAAATTTAATTGGCTGACACTTTTCTGGGTCTACATCAGTTAACGAATTTTTTTATGATGCTTTAACACATTCTCTCTCGTGCATGCTTGCTTTGTGACACCAAGGGGAGTACCCTCTGCCTCTCTCTCTCTCTCTCTCTCTCTCCGAGATACGGACAATATCGAGGGGATTTATTGTTTTTTTACATACTTCTTCCCTTGGTTGGTTGGCCTTTAATTTTATATTAAATCCACAAACCGTAATTAATTTCTGTAAACTTAATATCTACGTTTATACTTTTAATTTCCCTTAACATCGAAGACCCTTTCAAATTTAAGTTTTCCTTCTATATTTATCTTTTTCACCAGTTAAATTTTTCTTTCTCTTATTATTTATTTTTATTTCTTATGTTTTTTTGTGCATGATTATTTATTTTAAATTCTCTTGTCACCCATTTCCAATTCTAGGCTTTCTTGTATTACAAAATGGGGCGAAAGATATGTTTCTAAATAAAATGCTAGTTTGTTCATGATTAAATGTTGTGCTGAATTTAAAGAAATGTGTGCATTTATTTGTCTCCATTTGGTGCTTTTTGGTATTTTTTTTTTATTTCTCCAATATGTGGTGAGTAGTTTTAATTATTGTTATGAGTATTTGTTTTTTTTTTCTCTTTGGAAACATCTCTAAATTGCTCCAAATGAAATATTTATATTTGGATATAGCATGTCATCGCCTTATATATCTTTTATTTATGATTTTGATTAACTTTAGTTTTCAACTTATTCTAAATTGGTTGATACCAATTTATCCAATTTGTTCAAACCTCACACTTTGTGACCAATTGAACCTATTGAATTATTGTTATCCCACGATAGCATTGTACTACCATTTTCCTTAATGATCACATTTCCCATAATTAATTACTTTTGATTACCTATTTTCAGTCTTAATTTGCTTAGTTTGAAATCCATAACTGCCTGTTTCTCACTCGAGTACTATATCCAAATACAAGTAAATATACATATTTCAACTCCTTCTCATTTGTTGGATTAAATTTTTTAAATTTGCACCATAATATAATACTATTATTTTGAATGTCACAGGTTCTATTACATAACGAGCTTTGCTTTGTGTATTTATGAGTTCATTTGTGTATTAAAACCGTTTCGCACGCTGCAGAACTGCTTTCTTCTTTATATTCAGACCAAAGGACTGCATTTTATGAGGAAGGTATATACGTTTTGTGTTTAAGCTAAGTTAGCCGTTAATTTAGTTACGTCACAAAAGAAAAATCTGACTAGTTGTCCATAGTTTGACTTGGCAAACTGGTATGCATCGATCAAAGACTGACCTGGATCCAATCCCTGTCGGGGACAAAACCTCGGTTCCTTACCATTTAGATTCTTAACAATTGTCCCGTAGCAGCTCAAATTACCTTGTAAAGGGAGAAACGGTTGGAAATTTTTACCAGTTTTCAAATTGGAATAACTTGTGTCCGGTATAAAATTAATTAAATTTTATTTGGATTTGATAATGGAATATTACATTATAAGCACATGAAAGTGCTCTGAATATTTATGAAATATTTGAGAAAAACTATGTACACATTTAACCCATAATCTCTGTGATGCGAGTTGTGATGAGGAGATTTTTCTTTCGCATTTTATAAAATTAATATTTTATCATTTATTCTCGAGTTCATATCATTAAAATTTTTGTTGTAGAAATTGGCTTCTCTGCTTATCTCTACCTATTCAATCAATTCATCTTACTTTTTAACACACTTTTGAACTTAAAACGATTTACCTAAGGATTGATCATCATCATCAACAGATATGCCAGCTTTGGCGGCGATTTCTTCTTGTGCCATTTCATAGCTTACATCAGGATACTTCTTTCCAGTTTTTCTCATTTGATCCGGATGGATAAAAACATACAACTGAGTCGTCCCAAACATTATTCTACAAATAAAATAACTCTATCAATAAATAAAAATGCTGATTTATAATAGTTCGATTGGTAAAAGAAATAGTGGAGTAACTTCGGTAAGAGACGATCCCTTTGAATAGGGGCCTTAATAAGAATGTTCCACTTGAGGGACATTGAAAAAAAGTTATAAAAAGCAAGATAAAGAAATATGAAATATTAATATGCTTGTCCCGTTCTTTTGATTATTGCTGCATCTGTGAGGGGAGACAGCATACTAGAAAAAAACTTGCCAAAAGAGATCCAGCTGTCTGCAAAATCAGTGATTAGCTTGCAAAATGAGTGAATGTGTGTTAAAAACCAGTAGGTGGATAGCAAAGGCTGTTAAATCCATATCACAAAATTGTATTCAGAACTATTTAAAGAAATCAAACAAAATATAAAGCTTCTAGCGAAAGAATGGAAAAGAAAAGAAATGTGAAAAAATAATTTTAATTAAACTACGAAATCAGAAAATATACATAATTTAAAATACGAATGCAATACTAATGAAGGAAGAGAAAAAATATGAAATATGAAAATAAACTCTTTGCAATCCTAGTAAATGACCTTTTTAAATCTAGATTATCTCAATTTAACTACAATTTTCGTAATAAGACTCACAATTTAATTAATTTCCCATTAGATTTAAAAAACTAATTTTAGATAAATTTAAATTTTCTGATACACTTCATACTTTAAGTAATTTATTTCCTTCTAAGAACTTTAATATAAAAATGGGTTTTAGATATAATACCACTTTCGTTCGCGAAATCTTTATCTATATTTTCTAAGAGTACTAAGTTTACTAAGTACTAAGTTACATACTTTCAATCTTTTTAGAAGATATTAATTCTTTTATTAATAAAACATCTGGATTTCACTCTGTATAATTTCTCATTGATGGAAATGGGTTCTATATTTCAAATACAAGCAATTTTTTCTTGATAATTCCCTTCTTATTAATTTCGACAATTTTAAGCTTAAAAATCTTATCCATGATTTAGAATTCACTAGGAAGCACTTATCATTTGTCCTATAGATAAAGCCTCTGGAAATTGTGTCTTTATATGTTAATATATATATCTTAACCTTATTTGACTACGAGCTTTCGAAATATAAAACTTATAAATCATGTTCCGATATTTATGATACTATTGTCAAAAAGTATTTGAAAAAATAAAATAATAACATTAAAGTACTGCAATTACCCCTAAATTCCATAAACCCCTATTAAATTTCGATTTATCACATGTGGCATTAATACCTATCTGAACATACCAGGTAAACTTTTTACAAAATACTTAAACATTTAATTTTATTCTATATATGATTCAGGTTTTACTTGAATTATTAGCAATAATAAAACAGTTATTAACTTTATCAGAAATGTCATAAGGACACCCAAAATCATTCTTTTTCATGATAGCGCAGATGGTGGCCGACAGCTTTGGAGAAATTTTTTCAATAATTTCAAAGAATGTTGATGAATAAAATTTAACATGTACTTTTGTACATGTAGTACATGTAATTTAAATTTACTTTTCGAGTACCATCCAAATACCTGACATGTACCACTTAGTGGCATGCGTAACATAGGTTCGCCATCAGGTACATTCATAGGGCTTAAGTGGTCCTAGGAGGAGAAAAATTGAGGCATTTTATCACGTTCGATAAAAATCAAGTTTTGTTTAAAACATTAAACATTGAATTTTTTTAAAATTTAAATCAGATTTTATATTCTTTTCATGTTTAACGATCAAAACTCTGATAAATGTATAGATAATATTTTATTATTTTGTAACAATAAAGCAACTAAAATTTTTAATATCGCTAATAATAAAGAGGTTAAATTAATTATATAATTATTGCAAACTAATTATTTAATAAAAGAAGTCAGTTAATTTTTTTTTATCTCACTCTAAACCTTAATAAATCATAAAGACAGAGAACCCATTTGTCAAATGAAAAATTAAAAGCAAATTTATTTAGATCAGAAAACATTTTTAAAAATAAATTATTCTGGGCAGAATAAGTCTTTATTTTTTATTTACAAGTAAATACACTAACTACATATTTAATTAGATAATCGTTTATAAAAAATAACAGTTCCAAAACCATAAAAATTCAATTAAATGCAAAGCAGAATTGAAATTTATGTCGGCACTTTGCATTAGCTTACTTACGAAATTAAATTGGTTAAGAAGGTCGTACTATTTGCATAACAGAATAACAGTTGTTAGAAATGTGAAGCATTTTATTGCCTATGCAAGATCTTTTGCTTCAGATTCACATTTTGGATCATAACCATAAATTTCTACGATATAGATATCACCAATTTGAAAACTAATAGCCACCAATTTGTAACATAGATAGATCAACGTGTCAAGAAAGTAAAGAGGCAGGGGGGTGTAACCAGTTCAAACTTTTTGTATAAGATGCTTTCAATGTCTCTCAATAGAACACAAGTAATACATATTTTTTGAAATTCTTATATTTAATAACTTACCTGTCACAGTGTGATAAAAGAGCTCTAGCTGTTAAAGGTTCTCCATTTAAAAGTATGCGGCAATCAGTGTGACATTTTTCTAAAGTAACACCACCATGCTCTAAGAAATTTACCATAGCGTGCCTTTCTTGTATACTAAAAAAAAGAAATAAACTTAATGCTCTGAAATTATGATTGATAACGTTTAATATTAATTAAATCTAAAAAAAATATTATATTTCGCTGTATAAGCAAAATTAATGAATATGAATAAAAGCATACTAATTTTGGACATTTAAGCATATCTTTACTTCACCTTTAAACTTTTTTTTGTGTATTATTAGTTATAATTTTCTTTCATTGAACATGTTATACCGGGTGTCCAAAAAATATGGAAATGGTAAAATATCTCAAGAAATACGTATGAGGTAAAAAATCTAAAATTTAACGTATAGAATATAACCCACCATACCCCTGAAGTGAAATTAACGATCTTTTTTAAAATATTCCATAATGACCCCAATTTTACTTCATTGTAGATTTATTCATTATTTCATTCTCCAGAAAAAATCTTCCTTACTTTGACTCACAGATGGTGCTATAATCACACAATGAAGAAAGGGTACACATTTTTTCGAGAAATACACCGAAGAGCCATTGCATTATGACCACCCTCCATCTATAACAATCGGCTCGCCCAGGTTTTCATGGTTTCTCACCCAGGAACAATGTTTTCATGGGGCACATTAGGACCCATAATCCTCATAGAACAATCCTTGAAGTCTGTAAGCTACTTGAACATAGTTGAAGACCAGGTTCACCCATTCATGGCAACAGTTTTTCCTGCGGGGGATGGTGTTTACCAACAGGCTAATGCACCATGTCATAAGGGTCGAATCGTCATGGATTGGCTCAAGGAACATTCCAGTGACTTTCAAGTCATGTCTTGGCCCCCAAATTCACCTGACCTTAATCCAATAGAGCATTTGTGATCCTACTTGGAAAACCAAATTCGTGCTGCCACGCTTACCCCCTCGCAATGTGAAGGAATTGCAGGACCAGTTGGCGAGCACTTGGTACCAGATACCTCAGATTACCTATCAGCACCTTGTGGAATCAGCGCCACGGAGGGTGATAGCAGTTTTGAGGGCCAAAGGTGATCCTACATGTTATTAGCAAGGTGGTCATAATGTAATGGCTCTTCGGTGCATATATCAGATCGGAGAAATAAAAACGTATTTAGTATATTAAAACTCATCTAATGACACCAAACTGTACCTGCACCGAAACTGAGAATCGTTTAAACTTCAGAGAGTGAGGCGAGACAGGCTTTTTCAAAACCAGTCTATTATTATTTTTTCGATCAGACTTGTACTTCTTGATAAGTTTTAACTTATTTGTACCATTGTAACCAATTTTCATTATGAAATTAAAACGCTACCTACGAACAAAAATGCAAAAGTTCAAATTGAAGTAATTTCTTCTACAGCTTTATAAAAGTAAATTTCTATTTCAGACCGGTATTTTGCTTTATTCGTTTGGGTCGAGATCGTTACCATATTCTTGGTAAGGGACCGATTTCTTTCAATATTTTTTACCCCTTCTGCTCTTTTCACATGTCACTGTGCATAATGCTATAACAGTTCAGAAACATATTTGATATTCCAATTTTTTTAAAACTTTAAGTACGTTTTTTAATGACATAGCAATAACAATTATTGTATGCTAATTTTGATGAAAAGGTGAATACTATATAAAACAAATAATGCAAAAATATTTATTTTGCTAATTTTAAATATTTTTACTTTAACCAATATGTGATATGTCACACTTCTTGTTACCTGCCCTTTATCGCAAACTGTCTCAATTCCTCGAAACTCAACCCTCCTTTCTAAGCATGACAACATTTCTGAACTGTTCCTAAGACCTATGTACCATTTTTACCACGCAAGTGTTAATTTTATTTTTCTTTTATTCATCGATTTTAAAACAAGCGATACTTTATAGATATTCTACGAAATTATGTAAAAACAATCGCTTTATTATTTAAAAAATAAAGGTGACTTTTTCTTGAATTATTTATTGGATAATATGGAAATGATTTGATTATGGACTTGCTTAAGAAAAAGTGATTTTTTACAACGTTTAAAACGATAATGAAGAAGTGTAAAAAGCTTCTGTATGACAATAACCTGTATAATCTGTTCCTCTGTATAATGTGATAAAACAACCAGGGCAATAGTTCAATGAATGATTCCAAGAAACTGAATCAGAAAGATCTACTTGATGATATCAACTTCATTTGCTTCAAAGAACATGTAGATGGTAATAAAATACGATATGCTTTAAGCGCTCAAAATAGACTACCATTTTCCAGATTCGCCAGACGGGAATGAGGAAATAAAAGTGGTTTGAAACAAGGACGTTAAGTTGTCAATGAACAAATTAAAAATAAAAATGAAAAAAGCTTGAAATACCGCAGTGGCCGAGAATTGCAAATCAGGGCAAAATGCATTTTTACGGGTCATGAAGAGGTTGTAAGGAAATCATGTCATTAATATCAGAATCGGGGTTCATATGAATGAAACAAGATTCCTGGGAATGAAACAAAATTTAAGGTAAGCTGACAGGGGTGGAAAAAGAATGATCGAAATTGAATTTTAGCCCAATATTTCTATAATGTGCTGTAATAGATGATTTATCACATTCTTGATAATTGACAGATCTATCGCGTTCTTTTAGCCTACATTTTAAAGCGTGATTAGTCCAATGCATCTGAGAAAGCCGAGATGGCTCAGGGGATAGAGCGTTCGCTTTCCGATGAGGTGAACCGGGTTCGAATCCCGGCAAAGGCTGGTCAATACGAATTCCGCGTCCATCTTGCACTGACCACAGTGTTGACGTAAAATATCTTCAGTGGTAGACGGATCATGGGTTAGAGTCCCCTTGCAGAGAGGCTAATCGTGGAAGGTTCTCGTGGTCTTCCTCTCCATGTAAAGCAAATGCGAGTTAGTTCCATCAAAAAGTCCTCCACGAAAGCAAATTTCTCCCAATACTAAATGCAGAAGTTCCCTTGTCTTCTGGATTGGATTCCAAAATTACAAGGTTACGGAGTTGAACATTAGTAGTCGTAAACCCAAAAATTGGATCGGCTGTGTTCAACGACGATTATATAATTAAAATAAAATGCATCCGAGAAGCCTAATTTAACCCTTTCGGGGCACCTTACAAGTTAAAAATAAAATAAAAAAATCGCATCTTATATGAGAGCCCCTTACAAGTTGGAAATGTACACCTTCCCGTAAATCAGTTTTGATTCGCATGATATGTGCATTCACTTTAGATAGCTACTTTCATTCACGATAGCTTTCACAAACGATCAGTGTTGTCGGCGAATCATTAGAATTTGTTGAAAGAACACAAAAAGAATTTTGAATTATCCAAAATTTTTTCCTAATAAGCCTTTATTTGTCTCGATAATTTCTCATTTATAAATTATGAAAATATATAACTTGTGTACTTTTTAGTTCAATATTTACCTTGGACCGAGAAGTTGAATATCAGCTTGGTCTGTTTTACCAACAATATTCTCTCCTAACTTTAACAAGTGCACTATTTTTCCTGAGAGCATAGGATCAAAGTTCAAATTTGTAAAATGAGGTCGAACTTTCTTCTCTTTTTCGATTTTAGCTATATCCCATTCCTAAATAAAGATTCGTTTATTCATGTAAGTTCAAATAAATAATAGAAAATATAAGAATTTTATTCAATATTAAAAGGAAATCTAACTAGAGGTAGCAGCTATTCGCATAGACAATTAATCAATCACTGATGAATGGAATTGACAGTACGGAAAAAAAAATCTACTTTTTTTTTATGGGGTTAGAAGTAGTGAAAATCTGGAAAAAGTAACGCCAATAATTTAGGCAAAAAAGTAGTCGAATATTTGGACCCCTTAATGTAAATTTCCCTTATTGTCTATTTCGCGATCTGATATCAAAATTGCATTTTTAAAATTTTATTTCTCGAGAACTATTTAACAGATTACCTTCTAATTTCGATTTCTGTCATTTAAGTTATGTAGATGAAATTAATGTAAAAATTTGTAAAGTTTTTATGCAATTCAAAAATTTTTCGCTCATTAATAAATTAAATAATAAAAAATATTAAATATTTTTTTTACATTTAGTTCTTTCGATAAAAATAAATTTACGATTGTTTGCAATAAGCTTCGTTAGTTCCGAAGAAAGGGTGAAATCCGTAAAAAGTGAAATTAATATCAAAGGGCTCAAACTTTTGATCGCTCTCCTGCCTGAACTATTGGGTCATATTGTCCAGATTGCTATTACTCTCCATGTTTTGAGCATCGAGAAACCAAAACTCAATAGATTCAGTATGTTATTTCTAAAAAGGTACGGTTTTTGTTGTGTTTGATTTTGTAACTTAATAATTAATTAGTAGCTACAGAATTAATTAGCATATTTAAGGTTAGACACTCGAATCATTGAGATTGAGTCTTAATATGTGAAAACCATTAGCTCAAAAGCCATTAATACGTTCTCTTATTTTTTCTTAAATTTTTTATTCCTTGATCACTGTACTCACAGTTGTTATAATGTAGCATTTAATGACATATTAAACATTTAAAGAAAATTATGAGAAAAAACGCAAGTCTATCAAAACTGATGAATTAGGTCTTTTAGTCGATCCCTCAATCATAATAAAGACAAAAAGAATAAAAGAGAGATTAACGACGAAAAATAGAAAAATGAATAATAAGTTTTATTTATTCGACATAAGCTGCAAATCATATTAGCAAATCATAATTTTAAGTTCTTGGTAGGGTGGAATTGTTAAACTTGACAGCAGTCGTGATATCCGTCTTAGCGTAAAAAAGACAAACCGTCTATGGTAGACTTTTTTAATATCTATTAAAAGTCCGTATATATAAGAACGAAATTTAATATTTATTGTAAAACCGTAATTAAATCCATTTTTGTTTTTAAATAGTCAATAAAAAATACCAAAACTTTTTCCTTTTATAGTTTCTCACTGATAGCAACTAGAGACATGGTTACTTATGAAGGCTTCTTTAAATTAATACTTATTTAACTACTTATTGCAAATCTAAAATAAAATTTTCACACTTATTCAGTATCAAAAGGAAATGTGTTGCGTGTGTGAAGACTTTACGATGTTGAACCTACATAATATATATGTAGGTATATATATATATAGATTAGTACCAGAGAAAATCACTTAATTGTAGTAAATTTTGATCATCATGAGATGGCCTCGAGTAATAGCATCATTCCCAAATATACTGAATACAGTAAGTTGTTCTTTTGATAGAATAAACAACTAAAAATGTGTTCTGCTTAATCTAATAACGTAAAATTACCGGGAAGAACAAAAATAATAATAAATACTAAAATTGAAATTATTTTAGATTTATTAATTGTGTTAGTCTTTCGGTTTTGTGCATGATTTCGTAGTGTTTTTTTTTGCAGTACTGATTTATTGATTTTCACCCCATAAAGAGAACGGGTATTCAGCTGATAGCTAATAAAATATTAAGTAGTTACAATATTTTTCAACCCCTCTTTAAATTCATTTCAAGTGTACTTACAAATCCTTTTTGTTGTCTCGCAAGTTTTAACTTATCATCATAAGACTGTTTAATTTGCAGCAGGTCTCTGTCATTTTCTGCCATTGCAGCGTGCATTTCTTCTTCCCATTTCCTCCTTAACTTGTGAATTTCTATAAAAAGTTTGGGGAAAAATATGTAATTAGAATTAAACAGAATAAAGTGGAATTTGTTTCTGGCTGAAACCTATTTACAAAATGTTACCTACATTCGAAAACAATATAAATATAAATACTCTCGCAAAATCAAATTAGAAAAATAATGTAAAAGTAAAAACGAAATTGACATTGATTGCATAACCTTTTCACAGTTAATCGAATTAAATATCAAAAATTAAAATTAATCTTTATAAATTAGTTTTTAATAAAAACTATGGTCTAGGAAATTTTTATCTATTTGTTCAGAAACACCTCACAGTTGGGCACTTTTTAACCAAAATTTTCTAAAGTTTTAAGGAGAGTTATAATTTTGTTTGCTAAATATATTTTAAAAATGAGAAACGTAAGTTTTTCAAAAAATCCTTCAAAGATGCGTACATAAATCAAAGAATATGAATTCTGTGTTTGGACAAAATAAAACCGAAATAAAAACTCGTCGTATTGCATGAATAAAATCTCTATGTAAAAATATACACAAATTCAATTTATTAAGACACTTTAATCAAAGCTTCATTAGAAATTAACATAAAAGCTCTATTAATTGAATTTATATCGAAAGACTTGAATTCTACATAATTGAATTCAAATTTTGTGATTGACCTCAATAAATAAAACCTAACAGCAAGAAGTTTTTAATAAATGAATAAATGGGATCCATATTGAAGTTGTAGGATTTGTGTTTTATTTCTACACAATTGTCAATGAAACACTTCTTTATTAAAACAATACCCTAACGGTGAGACAAATCGTGCCGTGCAGAAATAAATATTGCCCGAAATAACTTTTATCACGTTCGAGGGCCAAACTTCAATGGGAAGATATTTAATTAGTGATCATAACTAATTATGTTACGAAATCAGACGCGTATTTTCCCAGAATGCACATATTTTTTTTCAATAGATTTGGACAGCATCAAAATATGGGAAATCTGGAAGGTAAGATTCCAATTATTAAATTAAGAAAGCAGTTAAAGTGTGGGTCCATTGAACCATATAGATTATATGTTTCAGATTGCAGCTATCATCATAAATTTTATGGTTATAAATTTGATATCCTCGTAAATTTACTGCTATTCTCATAAACTTTTCGAAAAAGGTATGTTTTTGTTTTTGATTTAGCAACATAAGCAATAGTTAACAATAATAACTATAATAACATAAGCAATGGCAATAGTTAACGCTAATTATATGTAACGGAGCATTAATTTGTAATTTGTGTTAGCTCTAATTAGTCACTATAATTCGTAATAATTGTCCATCTTAATGGCTCGAACTTTGAAGTATTAAAATTGGCACTTGATACGTCAAAGTCCAAATTTTTTTTAATCAAATTTACGATAATTTATTTATTTATTTATTTATTTTGCTCACTGTACAGTTAAAATATTAAATATTAACAGTTGAAATATTTACCCTCATCTGACATTCCTGGTTGAATTGGTACATCCATTGCTCCTTTTTCCAACATTTTTCTCAATCTTTCATTTTCTTGACGTAGTTCTCGAATAAGTTTTTCAGTTGGATCTTCATTTACAATTGCAACTGTCTTTATTTGTTTTGCTCGATCGGCTACATCAAATTATAAAAAATAAGCTCAAAAATTCGAAATATACAACTTAAATACTACTGAACATTCTCACTTCTCCTTTATATGAGTTTATTTGTATCTCGACCCGCCCTATTTAAGGGCATACGAGAGTAGATACATGCATAAAGCATACATTATAAATACGTGAAGTTCTAAAAGTTACATCAACAACGAGTATAAAAATCAGAATATCTAAAATAATGATCAATACAATTCTATTAAACAAGTGTAAACCAATAAAGTCATAACGAATAAAATAGTAAAGTAATAGTCCTTGATATAACGCTTGTACAGGACTGCTGAACAAAAAATTATAAAACCACGTTACTTTTGGTTCTTAATAGGCAATAAATTATTAATAATGGTATATCAATAGTGTGTGCTAATAATTTATCACACACTATTGGTTCATAATGGACATCAAATCATGAATTATCAAAATAAATGTAATATAAAACATTATTTCCCCAGAATTAGTATATATTAATAATTGTGGTGAAACGAAATGTTTTGAAATTTTAAATACTTAAGCTTTTTACTACAATTAAATCATTAACAAATTAAATTTGACTTTTATTACTGTCATAGAAACATAACCTAAAAAAATGTCTTTTATTTCCAGTTTGAATTTGTTATATTAAAATTTTGCACTGCGTTTTGAGTGTTTATTTTTTTGAAGCATTTCAAGTAAAATTTCTTTTTTTAATTCTAAATTTTATCATTTAAGAGTTAAGCAACTACTTCAACAGTTATAGTGGAAAAAATATCTGTACAAATTATTAAAGAAAATTTATTCTAAACACAAGACCTAGTTAAACACTTGTTATTTTTTAACTATTCAACAGTGTTCCTCAACAGCGTTATTTTTTAAAGTAAAACAAGTACTTCAAATGACTGTGGATAAAAATAAATATGTATCTTCGAAAGAAAAAGTGTTTAGTGTAAAATTTAAGTGTAGTGAGTAATATGTATATATATTTACAGGGGTTGGACAAATAATGGTGAACACTTCTATTCTAACTTTTTTTTTCATGTTTTTCAAGAAATACTTAGAGAATTATCTTAAAACTGTAGAAGTGATTTAGCCATGCGATTTTCCATGCATATCAATAAAGATTAAAGCTTTTACAGGCCAGAAGAACCAGCAATAAATTACGGATGAAAAGTTTTTGAATACCCTATGCCAAAAAAAAGCTATAAGCTTGTAAATAGTGTCAATTACGTTGATTATCATTTGAAATAATTGCACGAAATTTGTAAACCTAACTTAAATATTCATAAAGACACGAGCATTTTTATATTTTAAAAATTTAATTATTTTGACTTACGTTTTCTTACTATAACTACAGAAATATTCAATAAAATTAAGCAAACTTTTCATTAATTAATAAAAGTATAACTTTAAAATTTGAAAAAAAATCGTTAAAAGTAGCACAAGATATAGGGACACAACCATGATTGTGTCCGCATTGTGTTCAAGCGATTGTGTCCGCATAACTTTTTTCAATTTTGTGCGTGATTTTGCAATGTTGATCATTACCAATTTATTGACTAGTTAGTTTTATTTCAAAAAGAAAAACGAGTATTCAGCTATTAACACTAATAATAAACTGAAAAAGTTGTATAAGTTCAAAATAATATTTATTTCCAAAGCGACTTTGCTTTGAAAAAAAATTACTTTTTTTACTACGGCATTGTGTCTGAAACACAAACTAATGTGAACCAGAAAACTAAAAAAATTTATTTAGAAGCTGTTTAAGGGTTATTTTTTCTTGACTATTTTAATTATTGATTCGTAAAAAACATAAATTCCTCTTTAATGTAAATAAGCTGCTGTTTCAAATTTTTCATTTTCACCAATTTGTTTTCTCCCCAAGTCTTAAGCTTTCGATGCTAAACAAGAAGTTTTCTAGGGTTGTTTATTGACTATTTGTCGCCAAGTCACTTAGCCGGTTTTTCAATCCAATGAATACTCAAATAACGTTACTTAGCCGGTTCTTCCATTGAGTATCTTCGGAATGAATAGATTTGGAAATATAAGTAAATGTTATATATTTAAATAAAGTTAAAATAACAATTTTCACAGGGAAATCTTATTTTGTTAAAAGAATGTCACTTAGCCGGTTCTTCTACTAAGCTCTTCAAATATGGAATGCCGTAAATCTTACCGTATCGAAGAGTGGATAATGTCTCTTCATAATTTATATCAGCAGGACTTATAGCAGCAATCTGCAAAAATAAATACGTTTCTAAGCAAATGTATTTCTTGCATACGTAAGGTGAATACTTTACAGACAGGACATATGGTTTAATAATAACTTATTTGTCAGAAAAATAAACTTTATATAAATTTTCAAGTTCAGGTTAAAAAAAAATTGCATATATCATGTTACCAGTGCTAAACATCGATAAAAAAAATTTCCCTTCTCTATAGCCAGCATAAAATCTTGCTAAATATTTTGATCACTTTCTAATCATGATTAATTCATTAATTAGTTTTTGGATGTCGAATGAGCCACCTTCTTAATGAATGCTCAAACTGTTAACATTCTTCATTTAAGTATTCATTCCCGTAAAAATAATTTTTATTCATTCATAATTTTAATTAATATTTTTCACAAAATTTTATGAATTGAAAAACAATAAATGCATAAAAATAAATAAATGTATTTTTCTTTTCCCAACTTATGCTCTATATTTAGCATTAATATTAATCTTTTAAAACTAAGAACATTACTATTGTAAAACGCTTAACTGTTTTTAATTTCAACTGACCACTTCCAGACATTTTTTTTTCTTCGTACTTAAAATTCCAAATATATTTCTGAAAATACTATACCAATAATTTTAAAAATTTGCTACGGATTTTAACTTTTAAATTTTTTAGTGATTCCCTTTTCAAGTAATTGATGGTTCCAGAAAAACAAAATTGGGTCAAAAATTGATTCTCCTTATAATATACAAAATAGCAAATATCACTTATACATGTTAAAAAAAACACTTACGTCTGCTCATGAATACATTTATTTAAATTAAAAACTAAAATAAAGCATAAAGGCAAAAAATTACCATAATTGTTCTACTATTTCCTCCTAATGCATTCATTAACAATCGTGTGAGAACAGAATCTCTAAATGGAACTGGAAGGAAATAAAATAGTCAGTTAAATATGAAAAAAATAGTTTTTTAAATTGATAAACTAATTAATAAATCATTAATAAGTTAATAATTATCAATAAATTAATTATTATTAATAAATTAATAATTTTTATTAAATCAATAATTATTAATAAATTAATAAATATAAATAAATTAACAATTAATAATAATTAGTATTAATTAATAAATTAATAATATTTAGTATTAATTAATAAAATAATTTAATAAAAAAAATTTTAATAGTTAAAGTTTATTATAATTTTAGTTTTAGTAACTACTTTGTCAACATAATTATATTAGAAATTGTAAGAAAAGAAGTGCTAACTATATTTTATAATGAAAAAATAATAATTGTACGTAATTTTTTCAAACAAGCTGTTCACGTGGAAATTTACGGTTAGGCTTGAAAGTTACTTTTGAAATATTTTTTTTTGTTGCATTATTTGAAAGTTAATCTTCTTAGATGACTTTTAAAAACAGCAAGGAGGGTTATTAGCAATTAATAAAGTATTTTTCTGGAATTATACCAGAACTCTTCAATAAAATTAGCTATTTTAAAAATCATATTTTTCGAAACAGACGATGCTTATATGTAAGGTATAGGGTGTACATAAATATGCAGACGTATTTTTCTTCTAATTTTTCACTGATTCCCTTAACACTTTCATGACTTCATTTAAGACAACTTATACCCCAATTTAATTTTCTTTGATTACAGCGTCATCTGTAAACCAAAATGCAAAAACCTGTAAGTTGAATTCCGGTACATTTTTCAAGAGAATCCGAATTTGAAATTAAAAAATGGGGTTTTTTATCTGTCCCCTCAGGGAGATTGACTTAAGTATAATTAGATAGATGAATCAAACGCGTGTTTTGTTTTTCTATCCAATATGCATTTCTCGAAATATTTGTTAGTTCCGAGAATTTCGGGGGACCCAGTGAAACAATTTTTATTTAAAATAATTTTTATGTAAGCCTTCATGACAGTTTCTAAAATATTAAGTAATTTCGGTAAAATTTGGAAACTCAAATTCAGATGTATATTTACCTCTTGCATTTCTTCCCATTGCTCTTTCTGCTAAAGCATGTATGCAATTTCCTAAACAAGATAAAGATTGATTTATAGCAGCTCCCTCTTTTAGCCTATCTCCTGTAGCACCAGTGTTGGAGGCTCGTTCACTGTTACAAAAAATATTTGATTAAGTAGTGTTGCCTAAATAAGAAATGATAATATGTTTAAACAAGCTTCTTAAAAAATAAACCCCTTAACAGTGATTCCAAAATCCACCTTTTGTTTGCTTTATACTCACCCATACACTGATAGAAATTTTTTGAAAAAAAGGGCTGAATAACAATTTGTTCAATTGTTATTTTACTATACTCAAACAAAACAGTCAAATAACTGTATATAAAACAACCAGAATTTTATCGCACCAACTAGTCCCACCTAATGACACCACTTAGTTTCTTACAGCTGAGTACATATTACAGCTGAAAGGGCTAATCTGTCAAACTCATAACCGAAAGAACGGCAGTTCGAATTTCAGAGTGTTCACACCACAATGTTTCGCCCTGATAAGTCACAATCTAACGAAAAGACAAGCTCCTATGTCCAGTTAAGTGTCTCTTTTACGGTTTTGAAACAATGCTAGTTGTAAATGGTTAAAAACACTGCATAGTTTTGTATTCTTGTTTTTTTTATCCACACTAGTTGTAAATGGTTTTAAAATCGTAAAGGTAAAAATGTTCTTTAGCGTAAACAATATGTTTAATTGGATGGATCGTCCGATGACGGTTATTTTAGCATAGCTTCAGAATGAAAATTTTGACATTGTAGTGCTTTAATTTTGAACATTCAGTCTTGCTGAAAATAATTAACGGAAATTAAAAGCAGACAAATTGTTTTTAAAAAAAGAGGGTTGATCATTTAAAAAAAACGCCAATTCGACAAGATTTTTCAATTTTGGAAAAAATTATTACAATTTTTATTATAAATATGTAAAGGAATTTATTATAATTCAATTTACTCTAAACAGCATTAAAATCAAAATTACAATTTTATAATAGTTTCTTATTTTCTTACCTTCCTGCAAGATCTACAAGGTGCACAATAGACATTTTGGCTGTTTCTTGTCCACTTGGTTTTTTAGACTTTTGTATCAAATGAATTCCTACAATTGTATGAGCTCGACTGAAAAATAAGGGTGTACACTAGAAACAACATTTTTCTTAAATAATAAAAGGAAAAAAAATATTTATTCACTGTTTTTGAAATAATTTTAATGAATATTTTTACTGGCTGCACCCCCCTGTAACTAACTAAAATCCGTGTGAGCGCCCTTGATCCTAATATATATGATGATTAGTTTAAAAATATCACCTCAAGTACTTTATTGTTTTAAAAGTTTTGGAAAGGAATCAGGATTTTTAAAATTAGGTAGTGGAAGGTCTAACATTTATAAAGAACAAATTTTCTACCATTTGTCACAATTTGTTACTCAGACAAAATTAATCTAAATCTAATCTAATTGCTCAACCACTAAGTTAATAGTATTTTTGTTTATTGCTTATTCTTCAAATTGAGACCGCACTTAAAATTTCCTATTCGAAACACAAAAATTTTACTTTGCTTAAGTTGATAAAATATATAACTAAAAATAAACATTTAAATTTCATCGTCCAATTTCACAAAAATAATGTTTTTTCTCCTTTGGCTGATCTCTAATCGTAAGCAGTAAACACTTGATTTTTGTCTTCCTATATGACTATTATATGTTTTCTACTTTGACAAAAATCTTCAAATAAGAATAATAATCGCATGAATTTTATATTTCGTGCCTTAATTACATAATTACATTATTTTACTTTCGATGGTAAATATCTCCAATTATGAGTATAAATATATGAATTTTATTTTTAAATATGGCTCTAATTATAATTATACTACTTTGACTGACAAAAATCTTCAATTGTGAGTAATAAACACTTGAAAAACACTTGTGTCGTCTCGTTTGACTATTAGTAAAAAAAATGTCCTACTTTGGCTCGTAAAACAATTTTAAATTATATAATTAAAAACTTATTTGAAAATAATGTTAACATTTATTCTTTAAAAAATCTTTGAAAAAAAGTAACTCTACTTTGAAATGATTCACTGCAGCACTAAAGTTAATTTTTATCTTCGACAAGATTAAGAAACATAGATCTGTCAGCATTAAAATAATTTTTATACAGTTTCTTTTCATTAAACTATTAATCTTTACCTGCTAGTGGCATTCATATTTGTTGAGGCAATACTTCTGTTTGTCGTACCTTCATTCAATTTTCTTTCTATTTCTTTGTAACTGGTAACCATATCCAGTTTCAACCCTTCAGCTGAAACAAATTAAATTTATATTTTTGAATAATTTTTTTTTTCCTATGGCAGTCACAGAATTTGAATGTTTGCCTATGAAGATGCCAGAATTGTTGCCCATTTCGCGTTACCCAGTTGGCACCTGAGAACCAAAGTCACGGAGGCGAGCAACATTGCCCACGCCACAAATCCGTTTATAGGGTGGGCCACATTCACACATCACACACACACTACAGAGGACGGCACAAAGAGAGAGAGAAACATCCATGCCCTGAGCGGGATTCGAACCCGCAGTCAATTGCTTCGCAGTCAGGCACGCTAACCGCTCGGCCACCTGGCTGGCATATTTTTGAATAAAATATTTTCTTCTTAATTTAAAAGCTGGGTTATAGTTTCCACTTCATTTTACTGTCACATTTTCCTATACTATCCCATTTAGTTGTTAAAATGCTTTGATCCTCATTTTTATTACTCAGCTCAAAAATTTATTAATCACAACTAAAAGCTAAGAATTAAGTGGTTTTAAAGACACTTAGATGTATAGGTTTTGAATTATTTCACTAATACTTGAATGGGAAAAGAGGAAAAAAATCCTATTTTTAAACTTTTATCATTCACAAACCTGAGATTTTAGACACCTTCATGTCTAAATTAAAAAATCATGATTGTCTAAAACAAAACTAGATAAGTGTTTGTTTGTTTTGTTTTTTAACTAAATTCGTAAATTTCATTTAGTGTGATTTTTATTGAAATGTTTAACTTTATATGATACAGATATGGGAGAAAATGATAGAAACACCCATTCATGTCTGTCAAACAACCCGCAATGGACGTTGACTTACTGGTTCCCACAGTAAAGATTGGAGGATTCTGTGATGGCAGGATATCCAGCAACACCTACTGCTGTACTCGTGAGAGAGAAGGCGAGAATTATCGCACGTCATTTACACTCACACTCTAGAGCATAGTTTCTTGGAGAACGTTCTCCATTCAACTATGCATAGTGCACAAAATAAAAAACGAACCACGTTTAATAACTCTTGATCTAATGATCGGATTTTCACGTTCTAGGACTCATTCTTAATGCTACGAAGGGGTAACCTCAAAGATGCTAATTAATTAGTGCAGGCGATATTTTATCATCAAAAATCAGGCAAAAAAAACGCACTTTCTCTGAATAAATAAAGGTTTTTTTTTGTTTCTTTCTGACGGATTTGGATTTTTAACCCCCAAAATATAGGGAGTAGCCACAATCTTTGAAATATTGTCCCAATAGTAATTAAATCAGGAGAGCCAACCAAAGTTTGGACCCCTTAATGTTAAATTTACTTCTTGCATATTTCGCCATATCTCGCGAAATTTTTAAGCGAAATGAAAAATTTTTGCACACAATTATAAATTCGTTTATCCAAAGATAATTCTAAACAAAAATGAATTTTAATAAATATTTATCATTTTCATTATTTATTAAATAATAGTAGAAAAATTTGAATTGTAAAGTAAACAATTTTTTATCATTTTAAAGTATGTAATTTCACCAAGCAGAATAGAAAATGTGAGCAAAATCGGTTAAATAATTCTTGAGAAATCGAATTTTGAGAAAGTCATATATTTAAAATTCGATTTCTCAGAAACTATTCTACCAATTTCGCTTAAATTTTGTATTTTGCCATGTAAAATTGCCATGTACTTTAAAATAATGTACAAAAAATGTATACGGTACAATTCTAAATGTTTTCAAATATCATTCAAAAAAATAATTAAAAATAATAAATATATACTAAAATTTATTTTTTGAGTAGAATTATCTTTGATAAACGGATTTTATAGATGAGCTCAAGAATGTTTTAATTAGCTTACAAAGTTCGCTCGAGATATGGCGGAATATAAGCCCGCTCTCCTGAAACTATGGGGACCATATTCTCAGATTACTACTATCCCTATATTTTGGGTGTCAAAAATCTGAATCCGTCAAAGAAAAAGGTATGTTTAATCAGAAACGTTAAGTACGGTTTTTGTCTGATTTCGTAACTTAAAATATCGTCTACACGATAAAACTGTAATTCCGAAGATCAATTCTCGATAATAAAAAAAATTTCACTCTTTCTAGGCTTTTCCTATTCTTTTATCAAAAACCTAAGTATTAAATTTTTAAAAAAATCATGAACACGAGAATATATCTAAAATTTTAAGAATATGTTTTCTTACCGTAGAACCCTTTCTTCGGATGTTCACGAACTTTAAGACCCCTTTTCCTGTCACCTCCGGGATTTAATAAGTCACGGACAATTTCATTGTAAATTTCAAGCATGCTAAACCGAACCTAGTAAATACAAATCATTATATGAATGGTTCAGAAGTTAATATTGTTATGTCACTATTGACTTATACTAGTTTTTATCAAAAAAGCTTGCATAAAAGCATATCACTTTAGTAACAGGTCGTTTTATCTGCACGATTTCGTCAATAGATCATTTTGTTCAGTGCTGACAGAAATTTTAAACATTTAGAACCACAATATCATGTAAATTTTCTGAAATTACATGAGTGAAGAAGATTAAACGATATTTTTTTATGTATCGATCAAAGTGAGCAAAAAAACGTTTATTTTTCTATCTTATTTATTTTAATTTGTCCTCATGTTCACATCATCTGTATTATATTTTCGCTGATGCTCCATGAACCAAAAATATTGAATAAAGTTGTAACTTCTTTAAAAGTTTTCACTATAAAATAAAGTAAGCGTATTTTTTAGTAATTTAAAAAGGTTATGTTTAGTCTATTTATATATATATATATATATATTTTTTTTTGTGATTCAAAAATACTTAGGCGATTTTTTAAAATAGGTTAGGTCGGAAAAGTTAACTTTTAAGTAAAACATTGGGCCTTAATGTTTATCGTAACAGTATGCTACATTACTATTAACATTATTACGAAATTATTATACAGTATACTGAAATAACGTTAAGATACTATNAGCAATATAGCAATATATATATATATGTATATATATTGCACAATAAAGACAAAAAGAAAATAAAGAGGGAAACGAAAAAAAAATAATAAAATTTATATACTGCCCATAAGCTGCAAGTATATAGAACTTATAAAATAAGTTAAAAATAACGAGAAAACTTGGAAAATAATAAAGATTAATGAAAAGAGAAGAAGAAAAATTATTAAAATAGAATTTAAAAAAGAATTTCAAAAAAAATTTTAAAAAATTGAAGGAATTATGTATTATAAAGCCGGAAAAAAATGAAAATATATATCTCTTCATCAGCTCACACGATTATATCCTTAAGAAGGAGTGCTTTCGAATGTTGTATCATTATAGTCAAAGCAAAGTATATCAATACTGTGAGGAGTACTCAAAGAAATTGAATCAAAGTTGAACACATTTAAGGATTTATTTTATAACTTTAGAGGTGTTCAGGTCATGCGATTTCTTATACATGTCAAAAACGGAATATTTGAGGGACCAGCTAGTGTTTTTATTAAACCTATGCCGCTAAATATAGCAATAAACTTTTGACTTGTATTACTTTGATTTATGTAATAGCTGCATAAAATTTCGCAAGCTTAACTTTAATATAATGGAGATATTAGCAATTTTAGGGGGGAAATTTTTTTTTTCTTACTGTAAACAAAAAAATATTCAATGAAGATAACAAAATTTTTGAAGCAATTTATAATAAATAACAAAAGTATTATTTAAAAAATGCGCTAAAAATAGCGCAAGATATGAGCATTTAAAGTAGTCTTTTTCACACTGATCATGCGTGGAAAATTAAAAAAAAATGTCATAGTTTTGTTGTGAATAATATTTGGTAGCTTATAAAAAAAAACTCCGACTGTAATATCTTTAGAATTTGAAAAGTTTCTTGCCACACATTTTCTAAGCAGTTTTTGTAAATTTTGCAAGAAAGCTCTAAATGATAAGTGCTTTTCGACAATTAATTTTGTACTATTAAACAAGATTTATTAAAAATGATACCGACATTATAGGGGAGTATCCATTATTAAAATATGTATTATTACACATATTTCCGTTCCTTATACCAGTACATTTCGTATTATTCTAGGGTATTATCATTCATTATTAAATCTTGTTTTATCATTCAAAATGAAATTTGTGTCCCTTACCATTTATCTCTTACTTTCAAATTTTAAGGTAAACTACTTCGAAAATTGCTAATTTCAAGGTATTCTAATTTGACTTTGTCCATAAATTATCAAACATGATTCACAACAAAATTCTGGGGAAGAAATAATATTTTTCCACGCATGCGCTTTGTGAAAGGACAACTTAAAATGCTTATGCAATGCTCAATTTTCAGCGAATTTTACTTTTTAAATTTTAAAATCATATTTTTGTTATTAATTAAAAAATGCTCCGAAGTGTTTGTTTATTTTTATTTAATATTTTCACAGTTATAGAAAAAAAACGTAAGCCAAAAATAAGTTTTTTATAAAAATATTAATATTTCCATAAACATTAAACTTAGACTTAAACATTAATTGCATATAGTAAAAAGTAATCGATGCAAATTGCAAGCTAGGATAGGGTAATCAAAAGCATTCTGCTTTGCTTCTAATTTATCGCAAACCTTTGAAAGCTTTAAATCTTATTGTTAAGTAAAGGGAAATTCCATGACCTAAGCACCTCGAAATTTATAAAATAATTCTTTATGTATTTCTTGAGATTGTGAATGTTTAAGTATTTCTTGCGATTATCAAAAACTGCAAAAATCTTTTTCGTTATTGTAAAGTAGTGTACATCAGCTGTGTATTTAAATGCAATTATAATTTATTCCGGTTACTGAACCTAACATCTATCTTTTTACGCGATTTTATTAATAGACTGGAAATGTTAAAATTTACTGAAACAACAGAAACCACAGATAAATGCGCACATTTGTATGGAAAGTTAAAATCTCTGTTATTAATTTCTACTACAGAAAATGTTCTAGAGTCATTGTTCCGCCCTTATTAGAATAGATGAATTTTCTCATATTCCTTGTGCCATTAAACCTAATTACAAAGCAATGATGTCTATTGTCTATGCATCATTGCGAAAAGGGTGGATCTCAACTGAATTCCGTTTATTCGGATGGTTAACGTACCGCGAAAACATAGTTACTTCCTCACAATCTTTATACTGGCGGTCGATACAAGCTGTATTCATAAAATTGGGTTCTCAGAGTTTCTCTTGCATTGCAGGATTGGTGATAGAGAATTAACTGTTTTCGTTTTCATCTATGACTCAATCTCTTAAAAAGTTAAGCTTGAAAATATTATTTTTCAATTGTTTTTATTTATTTATTTATGTCTTCCAATATTTCGAGATTTACGAATGTTTGTTTAAAATAAAAAAAACAATCAAAATTACTTATCGATGATAAATTTAAAAATGTAAAATCTTTAAGATAAACTTGAGATTTTAAAGTGAAATTTTAAAAAAAATTATAAATTTTTTATCTCACAAAAACCAATTGAATTTTGTTTCTGTATAAATTAGAGTTATAGCAATTTTAAAAAACCCACTCAATCTGTAAAGATATTATATCTAAAAACAGCCGACTGTGCTTAGTTTATTTTCCAGATATATATTTAGAGAATATTTATGCAAAATTTGAAGTAGATGGGACAGTAAAATTTTAAATATCATGTTTTAAAATAAAATAAATAACGAGAAACCTGTTTTGAGATATTTTTTCCAATGCTCACTCGATTGACTCTTCAATCAGGTATTAGTAGAGTTTTCAAGGACAGCATATTGGATGGTCCAATGTTGATCTCACAGTAAGGACAGATAGTATAGAGAATAAAAGGGCCTCCACGCTTTGTCGGGGATTCAAACCCAAGACCAGTGGTAAAGGAGCTGACTTCTCATCAGAAAGGGCTAGGGTTTGAATCCCGGACTAGGCACGGATGCTCCTACTATCTGTCCTTACTATGAGAGCAACATTGGACCACCTAATATGCTGCCCCTGAAAACTCTACTGATACCTGATTGAAGAGTCAACCGAGTGAGCATTGGAAAAAATATCTCAAAACATGTTTCTCGTTATTTCTATCTATCTTTTCAATCTTGGCTACATCGCCTTAAAATTTATATTAAAGTAAGATGCGTCAACAAATCATCTATTGACACACTTTGTTAAAACCTTCGGCATAAATTTAATTTTGATAACACCAAAATCACTACATTCCATTCCTATTAGATCGCTCATTTGTCATCATTGATTCTCTGAAGTCTTGTTTTATTCACATGAATACTGATTTTCAAAAGGTAGTCCCAAATGGTGTTCCGTGGATCCCTAGGATTCCGGGTCAAGTTGTTGTAGTTCATTTACGTCGCACTAGTGACAATTGGCGACGTAATGGGCTATTGGCGGTAGTCTGGGAAACATCCCTGAGGATGATCCGAAGACATGCCATCACAATTTTGATCCTCTGCAGAGAGGATGGCACCCCCATTTCTGTAGTCCGACGACCTGCACGCGAATTCGAGCACTTTATAGTAGAACAGTTTAACGAGGACCATAGCGCACACCCTCGGTCCCTACGTATATATATATGTGTATATCTATCTATCTATCTATCTATCTATCTATATATATANGGAAATATATATATATATATATATTTAAATGACAGGAATTAAAGCTAACTTCAAACTCAGTTTGATCTCCTCCTCTTCTTTTATCTTCTATACTTCTAAACATTTCTTCACAAAACTTAGGAACTATACCTGAAAAAATAATTGTGTTCCTTAAATTACACTGTAGAAAAATGCGTTAAGAAATCGAAAATTTCTGCAACTTTCTATCAATAATTTTTGTTTTTTAAAAATTTGAAGTTTACTGTAAAATTTCACCTTAATCTGTCCTATAACCTTTGATACAGAATTTTTTTGTTTCTTATAGGAAAAAATTTCATTTTAAAAGGATGGGAGAAATTGAAGACCCTAGCCTCCAGGATCACTCTCAGTAATAAAACTCTCACTTTTGACTATTCATCAATCCTTGAGCAGGATTTCGTTATTTTTGAGAATCATTTCGTCACAAAATTTCGTGATTTTCGACGAAGCACGAACTCTCCAATAAAAAACGAAAATGTTTTATCAACTTGAAACTTTATTGTATTACATTATGGATGAGGAGGGAAAATAGGAGGGTGAAATATATCTTTAATTTTGACGAAATTCGTGTTCTCGAACAAGTGACGATAGTTATGTTGTCATTTAGACGAAATTTTTCTCTGACTATGTACCAGGAAACGGTTTCGGCAAAAGCGAAGAAAGTTTCGTGATATTTTTGCAGTGTGCTACTGGAACAAGAACTGCTTCATACAAGTGAATCGTAGCTCTTCTTACGTCTCTTTGTACACCCTTTTCCCCGACAATGGACTGTATTTCTGTAACATGCAGAAATTCTCTGACAACTTTGAGCTACAGAAATTTCTTGTAAATATTTTTAATGAAATTATAATACTATTTTAGAAGGAAGAGTATTTTAAAGCTGAAACAACATCAAAAGTATATTCAAATTACCAATGATTAATTACCATGCGAAAGAAAATTTGGAGAGAGTACTTTTTCGAAGTTATACCTTTATTTGCCCCGTATCCAATAACAGACCAAGATTTTCCTGATCCAGTCTGGCCATATGCAAATAAGGCGGTATTGTATCCATCCCATGCATTTCTAAGGACTCCTCTGCCGAGATCTCTGTATACTTTTTCCTGAAACAAAAATATGTTTATATGGGTTTTCTAGTTGAAATATGTATATTGTTAAGATAAGGCAAACAAATCCAAGCACGTTTCTTTTCGTTAAATTATATCTCTTTTAATGTTAGGGATCTTGGAACCTCTTAAAAAGTATACGTAATTTGAATTTTTTAGGGTTGATCAATAAACATGCAAAAATCACAAATTTTCATGATGATATTATAAAAAGATACTTAAAAAATAGCAACGTTATATTTTTAATAATTGAAATTATTATATTTCAGTTTAAAGTTTTTTTTATTTATTTCAAATGAATAACATTCTGAGAACAGCAATACTAGTGGTCAGCTGTTACTAAAATGAGGAACCCCCTTTTCCGAACGCGGCGTCATGTCTTCATTTATAATATCAAAAGTTACTTTAAATTTCTTTTTGTGGCTTTCTCTTATATTGATACGTGTGTTCTAATTTACCTCTTTCTAAAATAACGCTTAAAACTTAAAAACTTAAAAATAATTATTTCCTTTCGTTTCATTAAATAAAATTTTAAAAAGACTTCTATTGTGCACGCTTCACATTTTATGCAACACAAAATGTTCCTCCAATGGCAGTTAAGCAAGACCAAGCGGAATATTTTTCAAATAAAAGAATATGTCAAGAATGTATTGGAATATAATAATTTAATGTTCCCTGAGAAATGTGCATAACAACAAAGCTTGATAATTTCTTTAAAATATTTCATATATCATAGTTATGGAACAACATTTAAAAGTGCTGCAATCACAGACATTCCCTTTTTTATTGTATTGACATTTTTTTTATTTTACTGTTTTCTTATTTTACAGGAAAAATACTTGTTTTTTGTTCATTTAGTAAAACCTAACGTACAAAACATTTTTAAAAAATATTTAGCTTTAAAAGGTTCATATTGAGTTATAACGGCTAAAAAAATATATATATGTCTGTCAAAATAAATATTTCATGGAAATCGTAAAGCTAAGCCTATTACATTTTTTTTAATATCTCTTTTGAGTTGCTATATGAACTTTGAATATTTAATTATGTAAGTTATTTGTTGAGCTAGAGGAAGACAATAGCAATTACTGGCATATAATACTTTATGAAACACAAATTGTAAAATAAACATTACTCACACACATTTCAATGTGAAGAACAATACGCTCACACAGTGCTATCGTAACACTTGAGAAAAAATTGACCATACCGCCCTCTCAGGCATATTTGCACATTTGTTATATAGTTGATTCCCTTATCGGAATATCGTAGCTTAAATCGCATAACATGCGCAACTTATCTGAGATTAAAGACAGATGGGCTTTTTCGCATATATATATATATATATATGCGAAAAAGCCCATCTGTCTTTAATCTCAGATAAGTTGCGCATGTTATGCGATTTAAGCTACGANTCTATATATATATATATGTAAAGCTTTATTCTAAATGATACGGGAAATTTAAGCAGAAATATTTTTCGTGACACAAAGTCACCACTTTGAGAAGTTATCAAACAAATTACAACTGTTTCACAATCTAATAATGCTTCTGAGATTGACAAAAATTTCTGAAAAAATTATCTGTATTTTCACTATCGTGGGAAGTTTTTTATCTCCATAAAACGCGAGTGTCCCTAAGCAACCCCATTTTACGGTATAGCATTTTACACGTGCTTTAAATGTGAAAAGAGAGTTTAAAAAAATTATTAGTGTCTGTTCGTTATTTTTTCTTTGAAAATCTTTAAAAAAATGATTTTTAATATTTAAATCCAACAATTTATGCCATTTCTAAAAGGCTTTCAAGTTTCGTCATTCGAGGTTACTTAAGCTAATTTTCAATTTAGGACGTCTGCATAATTTAAGAACATTTACTGTGGAGATTAATTAATTGTTATAAAATTGGGGTATTCAGTTACACTCTATGGTTACATGTATGGAAGTTTTCTAAAACATGTATCTCAAAGAGAAAAAGTAAAACATGGTGCAACTTAATGCCCCCATGGTTTACTGAAAGAATTCATTGCAGGGAACATTACTTAGTTGCTGAGAATGCTAATATAATAAATGTACAGTGCGAAAAAAAAATTAACCACCTGGAATAAATTTTGGTCTAATAATCGCATTTCATGTTCCAGGGCTCAATCGTTAAGGTTCGAAGGGGTGACCTCAAGTATGCTAATTAATTAGTGCAGAAAAGTTTTTAAGTTACGAAATAAGACACATAAACGTACTTTCTCTGAATAAAAGTACCTTTTTCTCGACGGATTCGGTTTTCTAACCCCCAAAATATAGAGGGTAACAGCAGTCTGCGAAGCAAATTGAAAACTTTTTGCACACAATTATAAAAATTTTTATCCAAAGATGATTTCATGCGAAATATAAATTTTAGTAAACATCTTATTTAATAATAATAAAAGTAAGACTTTTTGAAAATTTAATTTCTCAGGATTCAACCGATTTCGCTCAAATTTTGCATTTTGCCATTTAAAATTGCACTCGCTGCAATGATGCAAAACATTTTACTCCGCTCAATTCAAAAGTTTTTAGACTATTATTAAATAAAATAATAGAAAAATAATAAATATTTACTGAAAAATATATTTTGCATGCACTTATCTTTGAATAAACAAATTTTATAATTGTGTGTAAAAACTTTTCAATTTGCTTAAAATCTTTTCGCCGTATTGCGAAATACGAAAAAAGAAAAATTAAAATTAAGAAGTCTAAGCTGTGAGCCGCTCTCTTCTGACCAAACTACTAATAATAATTTCCCAGATTGGGACTACCTTTTTTTTGGGTCAGAAATATAAATCCAATGAAAAAAAAGTTTGTTTATTCAGAGAAAGTACATTTTTGTGTCTTATTTCTTAACTTAAATTATAATCTTCATTAATTATTTAGCATACTTGAGGTCACTCCATTGAACCCTTAAAATTGAATCATAGAGCGTGAAAATAGCTGATTATTAGATGAAAAGTTATTCAGGGTGGTCCGTTTATTTTCTGCACACTGTATATATACTGCTCAGAATTTTCATTGGTAAAAATAAATACTTTAATAGGTTTCACAGTGTGCAGATGTGCGATATGTAGTGAGGGGGGTTTTCTGATCTAGAGATCCGATTTAAGCCTCATTTTTTACATTTTTTTCAGTTAAATGAAAAGATAAGTTGACTAATGGTTTTGCAGATTTTATTTCGTCACCTTTCAGTTGCATTTTAATTTTTTCTTTGCCCGAAATAAATATAAATTAACATATGAAAATGATGGCAAAGATGGCATTGCACGCCGAGCACTGATGAACGGGCGTAGCTCGATCTCATAACCATATAATCTGAAACAGGTGAAACCAAAAATTAATGATAACCCATAATGAAAGATTTAAAAATATGCAATAAAACAAATTCAATTTTTTGAATTTATAAGCCAAAAAACCCCCTTATGACGATGGCATGTATTTTTAATTGACATATTAAATATCTCATTCTCTTGACAATCAAAACAGCGTCAGATGTTGTTCAGCTACTGTAATTACATAGATTGAAAAGATAAATAGCATAACGTATTTTTTTTTACGTAAAACTTCCTGAAATAAAAATGAAAAATGAAAATACTGCAAATTTTGCAAATAAAACACTTTAGTAAATAATAGTCTTGAGCGGTATATGAATTTGTTATCCCAACATCGACAACATTTGTTATATCAACACGAGCCAAATTTTTAATTATTATTGCTGGTCTAAGTTACCCCATACTGCATAGCATAGACCACCATAAATAAATAACAATAATAAATATGCTTCAAAAAACTTTCGCACTTGTAAACATAGAGTAAACACAAGTTTTACAATAATCAATTCAACTCTAAAGTAAATGCTCTTAAACTGTCTTAAGTTGCCTTGTTTCTTGAATTGTTGTCTAAATAACTTCTAATGACGATAATCAGTATCTTAAATATCAAATTTTTGAATTCGTACCTGATCGCAAAATTTACTGCCATTTGGTTGTGTATTATCAGCTGTGCAATATCCATTTGGAAGTTCCTTATATCCATCATTTGACCAATAACTGTGATCATAGGTAAATTTCTTCACGGGATCACTGGGATCGTCAGGATTTGTCAAGAAAGTAGTATTTCCTGACATCTGAACAATGGATTTGGCATTTCTCTGTTTTTCTCTTTGATTTTGATAATGTTAAGAAAATGTTCAAGGAAATTAAAACAATTTACAAGAAAGAAATAAAGCACAATGTTTTGAACAGTAAACCGAATAATCTTCCCAAATCAGTAAAAATTCATTAAAATGAAGTCAAACTTTTTGTAGATTCAACTCAAAACGTTTGACTTTGTGACTAATAAGTAAATTTCTTCATAGGATCACAGGGATCGTCAGGATTTGACAAGGAGGTAGACAATGACAAGACAATGTTAAGACAATGTTCAATGAAAGTAAACAATATAAGAGAAGTAAATAAAATACAATATTTTGCTCAAAAAACTGAATGTTCCTCCCAAGTCAATAAACTTTATTTTAATAAAAGATAAATTCAAGTTTTTTGAGTTCTAATTTAAAATTAATAGAAGATTTGAAAATCAAATTCTAATAAAAAAGAATTAAATATCATTTGTAGAAAAATGTAACCTATTAAAAGAATGCTTAATTAATTTTGCAAAAGGACAAATAAAATCTACTCTTAATTAAAATTAAACTATTCACTTCAAACTTGAAATACAAAAAGTAGAATTACATTTAAAAATTGATGATTTTGTGATACTTTAAGTTTCGTACTTCGGAAATGTGATTCAAGAATTAATTATAAAATTTGAACTAATGATAGCCTTTCAATTTTCACCAATAATCAAGCAGGTTTTGGTGTTTTTATTCTTCCTTTTATCCACAATAATTTGTCAAATTTTAACAGTATTTCGGTTCATCTTTGCTTCAGTATTAATTTGTAACCCCTAACATGTTCTTTATTTTGAATTCATTTCGACAGAAAATTTAACCTTAATTATGCTAATTAATTTGATCAGACGGTATTTTAAGTTACCAAACCAAGTAAAAAAAACGTACTTTTTCAGAATAAAGATAAAAAATTTTTTCACAAATTTGGATTTCTGAATGCAAAATTGTAAGAGGAGAAGTAGCCGCTACCTGAAAAATATGGTTCCAGTATTTTAGACAGGGCAGTTTTTGAAAGTTTGAACCAAATAATGTAATTTCAACTTTTTCTTTTTTTTAAGTATCTCCGGACCAAATGAAGTGAATCAAAAAAATTTGCACACAATTATAAAACTTGTTTATTTGAAAATAATTCTTTGCAGCAAAAACATTTTTTTATAATTATTTACTTACTATTTTTTACTTACTTTACTAATCGTTGAAAACATTTAAAATTGCAATGTGTGCAAATTTTTAATATCAATGTAATGTGTAATTTTAAATGACAAAATCCGAAATTTGTAGGGATTTGAAGGAATAGTTCTTAAGAAATAAAAATTTAAGAATACGAACTGCTTTGAGATGGCGAAATAAATAAAGAGTTAATAATTCAAATGAAATTACCATCAAGAGGTCTAACGTTTCACTAATCTCCTGCCTAAACAATTAGGGTAATATTTTCCAGATTGCGATTAGCCCCACCCGCACTTTGAGGGCTGATCCAAGTCCAAAAAAAAGTATATTAATTCGGAGAAAATACTTTTTTGTGTTTGATTTCAAAAAGTAAAACATCGTTTACTCTAATTAATTGGCATATTTAAGGTTAGAACTTTGAGCTATTAAGAGGACGCTATGCCATAAGAGAAACCCTTCATGACAAATTCTCTTTCACCTATAAAAATAATTTAAATTTAAAGTGTGGAAAAGTGAGTTCAGATAAGTCTAATAAAAGCAATGAAGTTTCGAAAGTTGGAAAAAAATTTCTAAATATCAAAATGCGTACAAATTATGACAGGATTACTCAGTGGGGTAGTAATTCTGCAATAATTTATTTACATTTTGATATTTTGAAAATTGCTTTTCAGCATTTGAAGCTTCATAATGTATACTAGATTTGACTGAACTCAAATTTCCCGAAAATTTAAATTTTCAAATGACAATGGAGATGAAACAGAATTTACCCTGAAAAGTTTCCTTCACGGTTTAACGTCCTCTTAAGATTCAGCCTTAAGAGAAGGTCCTTTCATTAAATCAAAATTCATAAATGTATTTTCTTTTTCTTTTTTTTATACAATTTTTTGCCAACTAAGCACATTCCAATCCCTTTCTTATAATTTAATCAAATACATTTACGATATTCTGCACTCCGAAAAAGCATCTTTATTGTTCATTTTTGAAACCGACTCTCATAAGCGTGTATATTTTATAGACAATTTCTGATATATTACCTCAAATATTCAGTAATAGTGTTTAATTATTATGATTATTTTGACTTGCGTCTGTTTTGTTAAAAAATATTTAATAATAGCCCTTTTGTTCTCAACTGATCAAGGGGGGAGGAAGATTTTTGTACATTTTTCACGAAAAAGAAGATTGGATCCATATCTGTTGCATTTTGAGGAATAATGAATTTCAACGAATTAATAACGTGGAAAGTCGGTTCGCCCCGAGAGCTATTATCCACAGAAGATGGACCATGCTCATGAAAAACCGTTCCTGTTCTAAAATTCATTTCTTTTTCTTTTTTTTTTTTAGAATTAGTTTTCATGGACTTAAACCATTATTCCCCCTTGATCTTCAATTGTTTCCATCACTATATAATAAATATATTGCTTAACTTTATGTTTCCTTATTAAAATTCATTATTTTAAATAAAAGAAATCTCTCGCAATTTTCACTTAGCTAATGCATCCATAATTAAGAATAACAAATAGTTTATTAATATTTAAACCACTAAATGATATACCTTTTCTGACAATCTATCCTTTGAATCGCGTGCGAATAATAATTCTGAAATGGGTTTTTATGAAGATGATCTCTATGGTTTTGCCTATAGTATTGCTCTTTGATCTGTCCTGTGCGTGCAATTCACAATCTGATCACCTTCGTGACTTTATAAGTTACGAATCTTTGCACGGAAGCTGATTTTGAATAAATGTACGTTTTTGTTTCGAATGATGTTATATACGTAGGATAAAACGATGTTTTTGGTGTAAATCAAATAGTTTTATATTTTGTTTTCTAATGAAGCGATAGTAGTAACATTTGACATTACTTCCTAGAACTGTGATATTCATTATTAATAGTGCAAACTATTGCACGAATTTGTAAACATTATGCTATTGTGAATCAAAGATGAGTACATTTTTTAAAATACGCATAAATACTATCACTGCAATTAAATTTTAAAAATTTAGCGTTTCTTTCAAATACGTAAATTACGTAGGATAAAAAGACGTTTAAGTTAAATAGTTTATTTTCTTTTCTAATGAAGCGTTACATTTATCATTATTACTCAAAACTAATCTAATTATAATTAGTACAATGCAAACTATTGCACGAATTTGTTAGTATTGAATTATTCACTTATTGTAATTCAAAGATGAGTAGTTTTATTGAAATACAAATAGATACTGCTCACGTAAATTAGTTTTAAAAGTCTTACATTTATTGCAAATTCTTTTAAGTACGTAGGATAAAATTCAGGTTTAACTCACATAGTTTCATATATGGTTTTTTTATGAGTCTATAGTAGTAACATTTCACAATATTTCCTAAAATTCACCTATTTATATTTAATAGTGATGACCATTGTACACATTTGTTAGCATTACATTATTCATTTATTATTTGTAAATGATCAGTAGTTTTATTAAAACATATACAGATACTATACATGCAATTTAAAAAAAATTTAAATTCACATTTGTTTCAAATACTGTTAATTACTTAGGATAAAAGAGCAATTCAGGCCTAACTCACATAGCTTTATATTTTGTTTTCTAATAAAGCGATGATGGAAATCTTTTACAATGTTTCCAAAAACTAAACAATTTATTATTAATCGTTTCAGCTATAGAGCATGAATTTGTTAGCATTACATTATACATATACCATTCCCTTTAGAATGAGTAGTTTTACAGAAATATGTATAGATGTTATTTATGCTTTATTATGCGTCCTTTCTGCATAAAATTCTGTTAAATACAAAAATTAAAATGACATTCTAATATTAATTCAATCAGCTTTGCATTATTTTTTAATGAAGCGGTAACAGCAAGATTTGAAATAATTTTTTAAAACTGAGCTATTTAGTGTTGAGTATTGCACGAATTCGACAACATTATATCATCCGTTTAATGTGTTTCTTATTGTTAAGATGAGTATATAGATAGTGTTTAAGTAAATTTAATTTTGTTTTAAGTTCTGTTAAATATGTGAAATTAAGTGATTTTTCAGGTTTAACTCAAACAATTTATATATTGTTTTCTAATGAAGTGGTAACAGTTCCATTTGTCGTATTTTCTAAAGTTAAGCTATTATTAGTTATTGAACCAACTATTGCATACAAAATTATATTATCACAGCAGGTAGAAAAATATATAGACATTGTTTATGTAAATAAAATAAGATTTTTCTGTTTCAATATAATGGTAGTTTTATATTTAGTTTTCAAGTAAAACGATACATTTGACATTATTTTCTAGGAATGAGCTATTTATTATTTGCTACCAGCAGGCTCGCCACCACGATTCCACATTGTTCTCGGTCTCAACATTGGTTACTGCAGCCTTAATACTCGATATTTTATTTGAGTTTTACACATGTCTGCCTACACAAGCTCATTGCGGTATAATTGCACAAGAGCCGAAATCGACTATGCTGCACCAAATGCATGCTGGTAACAGATGGAAATGGGTTGATTAACTTTGCTGTTGATTTGGCTAATTACCAACTATCGAAATAAAAAATTTCTAATTTTTTTTCCAATTTGGTATAGGGTTCAAGTTTAAAATTCTATTTTGGTTGGTAAGTGTTATTTAGAATTACTGTCAGTTTGGTTGTTTATCTATAATGACCACTATAATTACAAAATATTAAAATTGAGCTCCATTTTTATAATCTGATTAAAGACACATAGTCTAAAGTTAACATTCGGTAGCAATCTTGACTACGTAAGGTAGCAATCGTGACAGCAACGAGTTATTCAGCATTACTGCTTGTTAGAGTGATTATCTTTAATTACTCTGATTATCGGAAAAT